TCGAATTCAAACAAATAGGACGAACGCAAAGAAATAGACACACCTAGCAAGCTTTTCAAAGAGAAAAATAAAAAATCACGATATTCCATCAGTAGGCATTGAAGTATGTATACTCGTAGGTGAGTGAAAAATTTAAGTCACAATTTATCACATACTCTGTCCGGTATATTTGATCTGCGGACTTGCCGCTAGCAATTTGGATTTTGTGTAGAAAGGGAAAAAAGGAAAGAAAAAAAGTAAATTAAAGTCCAAATCATGAATAATTTTGCATGCCCAAAATTGGAAAGTATCGGAGCTCGGGGAGATACAGCGTATCAAAAAGTATGCATATATGGGTCATGCACTAATTAATGGTCAGTGTGTCTCATTTACCCTTCCACACCCCAGAGACTCATAATTGTCATCCAAATTCATAAAAAGTGTGTACCCCTGGTGTTGTACTTAACCTCTTCAACCAAACACATTTACTCTTCATTTAATAATAATAATAATAATAATAATAATAATAATAATAATAATAATAATAATAATAATAATAATAATAATAAAGGATGTGCCCCATCGATTTTCACTTTGTGTCTAATGGTGTTCTCTTTTAAAAAAAATTTTGATGTGATAAGTAAAAAATAAAATATGATGTATAGATTATTAGTAAAAAGGTAGAGAAATTTACTTAAATAGGACTAAAATATAATGACTTTCCCAATATAGAACCACGTGTTTTTATTTCTTAATGTATGACCTTTGGTCATTATTAAATAGTCATTATTCAACTAAATATCCATTATTATTAGACATTATTCCTTCCACTAGGTCATTATTAAGTCCTATTTAGGGAATAAAAAAGTTTAAGTCTTACATTAAGAAAGTCATTATGTTTTAGTCATATTTAATGCAAATGTCACAAAAAGATATGTTGTGATAGGTAGGTTAGAAAATAGTATGAAAAAACATTGTTTTTTAATAGAAATTAGAAGGATTCTGTGAGTCAAGTAAAAAAGAAAAGGGAAGTACTCCGTAACTCTTAGGACAGATGAAGTATATAAATATTTAAATTATCATGCTTTAAGATTTTATTTCAATGCATTCAGGATATTATGGTAGTACTAGATTCGTAAAATGGGGAAGAGATGAGATGTGAGGGTTTGCCGGGGTTCCTAGGGCTAACTGGCTAAGAATAATCAATTTTACAAATGGAGTACCGAAGATACCACGAATCCACGATTGCATTACTGTAGTGTTTGTTGTAAAAACAAAATGTTTTATACGGAGTATATCTTTCAAGTGCCCTCTATTAATTTTCATAAAATGTGAAGTGAAAATAACATAAGTAAAGCATCCTAGACCATGTTGTAAAGAAAGCATGGAAAAAAGAAATATTTGCACTAAATAGTGATAAAACTTAAGTTGTTTATCAAAATAGAACTTAAACTGTTTTATTCCCTAAATAACATTTAATAATGTCCATAATGTCCAGTAATGACGAATATTTACTTGAATAACGACTAATGCATAATGACTAAAAATGCTACATTGGGAAGAAAACACATGTGGTGGTATTTAGAAAAAGTCATTATGTTTTAGTGCTATTTATGTAAATTTCTCTAGTAATTTTTAGAGGGCAAAGAACAATAACCAATTAATCAGTGTTAATAATAATACGTACAAAAATAATACTAATATTCCATTTTAATTGCTTGAACATTTAATTATTTGAAACTCCCCTTGATCCAAGGTCGATTGTTTTTACTTTTTTTGCTTAATTTTATGAAAATCATTTTAAGTATTATTATATCATAAAAAAGTATCAAAATAGGAGTTGTATGTTTTTATTCTCGAAATAAGCGTTCGCGCTGTGATAATACATGTATGTTGCATTATTATACTTTTTGGTAATGTATATGACCATATTTGATAATGTAAATGTATTTTAACTCCTATTTGGAGATTAAAAACATAAAAGTCATATTTTGATATATTTTTAATATTTTATTTCGAAAGGGTATCACAATTTGAGCAAAAAATCAAAATGTGTAAATTTTTTAAGAACTAGAGGAGTATTTAGTTTCTCTGTGGTAACTATGTCCAAGACTCCAAGTCAAACTCGATGAGATTTTTTTTGAGAGTATCATGGCGTATTTCCGTTGCAGCTTTTGTTTCACAATTTTTGTGCTCTCTTTTACTTTTTCTTAAAATTTTTACTTTTCTCTACAATTAGAAAATGCCAGCTTAGTATTCATTACTCAGTACTCTCCAAGCTCTCCCGCCTTCCCATACTTACCCAATATGGCCATGCAAAATTATTACGGAGTATTACTTTTTTTTTTTTCTCTTTTTCCCCTTATAGAAAATGTACATCCAAAAGCTTTGGCCTCTACCCTCTTCGTACGTTTTGACTATAATTTGGTGTCCGTTTGAATTTTATACTTAATTAGTGCTAAAATGTGTTACAAAATCAATTAAAATACATAGTGCCTCCTGAAAAAAATTAAAGGTGTAAAACAATTCAACCTTTGGTCTAAAACAAATTTTCCTAAACACAATATAAGGATAGAATATAATGTTTGAAATATGAACGTTAATTATATTATGATGAACCTCATTATATTTATTATACGGAGCTAGTACTAGCTATACTACTTTGCTTTTGGGTTATATTTATTGTTGTTGTTGTTATTTGAATACGATTTATTTGATATATGAAATTTATTACACGATCGAGTATACTTATCATTTCAAATCTCTTTAAAAAAACATGAACACTTGTTGAACTTCCGGTAGAGTGCACCCACTAACCCTTGATCACGTACACATGCATCACTGCTAATTGTGCGAAGAATCCTATCATCATTGTTTGAAGAGAGTTTCAGAGCAACAAAAATACTCTTATTAACGCCGGGGGCGTCATGCGGCGTTTAACGCGGCCTGGGTGTTAAACACCGTCCCCTATGGGTGCGTGTTAGGCCGACGTCAAAGCTAATTTAGCCGTGACTTCTTCATAATTACTCCGTGACATTTTAGCCGTGCTAATTTAGCCCCTCCCCCAACGGCTAATTTAATTAGCACCTTTGATGTCGTTGTAACGTTTATTCTAAAAAAAAATTGTTTTAACTTCAAGTGCCCTCTATTTATTTTCATATAATTTGAACTAAAAATAACATTAGTAAATCATCCTACACCATGCCATTTTATGAAGAAAGTGTGGTGGCCGGGGGGAGTAATAAAAAAAATCAAGTTAATATTTGGAAAAAAAAAGGACAAAGCATTAAAAGAAAATTAAAAGTGTGGCTAAGCACCGACTTGAAGGGCATAAGTGTGACTTTAGTGACTGGGATTAAACGATAGACGAAAGTCGGTCATTAGTAGTAATTGTTTTTAGAGTGCAGATAACAATAACCAATTAATCAGTATTAATAATAATAACACGGATAATACGACGGAGTAATAATAATTAAGAATAATAATTCTAATAAGAGTGGAAAATAATTAACAATAACCGTACCGATTAATCAGTATTAATAAGAACACTACGAACAACAACAATACAAATAATAAGAATAATAATTCATCTAGAGATAGAAGTGTGAAATATTGGAATAATATTATTGCTCCTTGAATTATGAAATACATGATAGAGTATATATAGAAGAGACTCCTAACACAACTAGGAATAGAGAATGGAAACTAACTAAAATACAACTTCTACCATAACTAGGAATACTTAATATTATTGTCTAACATCCCCCCTCAAGCTGAACTCTGGCTGAAGCAAGAGGAAGCTTGGACACTAGCCGGAAACTGGAAACTTTGAGGAGAGAGAAATCTGACGTGCGCTGGTGGCTGCTGACGTCGTTGGAGAGGAGAGAAGTCTGACATGCACTGGTAGCTGCAGACATCGTTGAAGAAGAGAGAAATTGACGTGCGCTGGTAGCTGCTGACGCTGAAGAAGAAGAGAGAAGGTTGATGTGCGCTTATAGCTGCTGACGTCGAAGAAGAATAGAAAAGGCTACTTGAAGTGCTTGTTTGACTGAAGATCTTTGACATTCTTTGTCTTTTTCTTGGATCCGGGCAATGCCCTATTTCCTTCTTGAAGGGGTGAGTTGTAGAGGTCTTCTTTCCTCTTTCACTACTTCCCCTCCTGGCTTTGCTTTTGTGCTGATTTACTTTGAATTTTAGTTGGTTGAACAGAAGAGAAAAAAAAGAGGATATTGATGATTAAAATGAGTGATTTGAGAGAGAAAAAAGTGGGTTAAGAATTGTGATGACAAAAGAATTTGGGTCTTAGATTTTAATATGGTGAATTAGAGAGAAACAACAATTTTTTTTTTCTTTTTTTTTTGAAAAGATAGGATGATCTGATAGAATTTGTGAGGAATTGGAGGGTTTTTTTGAAGAACCATGGAGATGACAAGAGATAAGTTCCTCCTTTGATAGTTTTTTTTTGTGTGATTTCAACAAGGGTTTTTTTTCTTCTTTTTTCATTTGAGTGGAAAAGTTGATTTGAGGATAAAGAAGGAAAAGAAAATAGAGGTGAATAGGGTGGACCCGCCGTCGCCGGAATTACCGACGGCGGCGGTGGAGCAAAGAACTTTTTTTTTAGGTCACCAAGAGCGGTGGCTCTGATACCATGTTGAAATATTGGAATAATATTATTGCTCCTTGAATTATGAAGTACATGATAGAGTATTTATAGAAGAGACTCCTAACACAACTAGGAATAGAGAATGAAAACTAACAAGAAGCATTGCTGTTCCAAAAACAAACTACAACAACAACGTAATAATACTCGTGCCTAAATGGGAACACAAACACAGAAGCTATTACTAACAACATAAAACCACTGCACGCACTTTTGACCACCATCCTTGCTTTAACTCCTGCTGCCAAACTGCTAACCCTCTGAACACTAAAAGAAAAAAAAAGTGCCATTGATATAACAATAACAACAACAACAATAATAATAGAACATGGTATAGTACGTACGACACAATAACATATACCAATCTTCTCATGGACGATCGGCATCAAGAAGCTCCCACTTTTTGACATCTTCCTCTGTTGGCTCCCTCCAAATACCACTAACAATAGCATGAACAGTTGGGTTGCAGTCCACCAGACAGTCTAAAAGAGCAGTATCCTTGCTCATTGAGGTATTGGAGGAAAAATGAAGCAAGTTCAACGTCCCACCCGTACGACCTGGATCGGAGATACTAGCAGCGGTCATCATTTTCTTAGCCCACAAAAAAACCTTGTCCTTGCTTGAGAACTTTGGGACCAAAAAAGATCCCACCTCAACCATCTCAATCTCCGGACTTTCTTTTGCGACATCAAATATTTGTTTTGTGTATTGTGCCCCACTCCCGGCGCATGTGAACGGCACTAGTTGGAAACCACTATCAAGCCCTGGAACCCTGTGCCCGGCATTGAAAATGAATGGTTCTTTGTTGATGAACCCGCATACCATAAAGCAGAATCTCCCCGGATCTGACGGGTCGTCGTCATAGAGCTGTGGGTTCACGGCATCAATATGACCTTTAATCATATCATATATTTCCTTTGCAGATCGGAAACGCTTGCTTTCGAAGTTCTCCAGGTCTTCCAACATTCTTCCTCTCACGAGCTTCATCGGTTTCGAATTTCGTCCGGCTCGAAGGATGACTCCTTGTAGCTCATCATCATCCCCGCGCATGAGGTTATCGTACTTGAGCTTCTTCCATGTCTTAGGCATGCCGGTGTACCGCGACGTGCTCAAAGAATCACACATGGCCGCGATTCGGAGATCCGACAATGTGTGTTGTTCCCTTCGTGGCTCACTCCCCGATCTCCTCTTTTTGGCGGCGTCAAGCAGATAAAAAAACGAACACACCGTGGTACCAATCATTTTTATAATAACCGTACCTGTGAAGAAACAAATATACATAACAAGTTAGTTTGTGTTTTGCTAAGGGGACGGTATGCATTTTATTGAATGACACGAACCACCAAAAAGAAAAAGAATGAATAAATAAAACTACCAGAAAGAAAAAGAATGGAAAGAAGGTTATTGAATCCGAAACCTGGCAAGTCTATTGCTAAGTAGTGGATGGTATGTATGATATATATGCTTGGAAGGATAGGCCAATCAATATATAGAGATGAGAGAAGAAGATTGGGAACACTGCTGGCAGTTTTAAGTTTATTAAGTTAGTACCCTAAGGTTTTAATAATATTAGTTATGCCCCCCATAAAAAATGGAATGCCCAGGTTCCTCTCTTTCCCTACTTAAATTCAACTTCTTCACTCGCTAAATTTTTTACTTTATAAAATTAGAATGAAATTGAATACTTTTTCCATTTCCAAAAGATGTTCCAAATAGGTTATGAATTAATTAATAGAGGTAAAAAATAAATTTTTAATAGAAATGAGAAGAATTTTGAGGGACACACTAAGTAAAAATAGGGGTGTAAACGGATATTAATCGGATCGGATGTGCCATTGTCAGTTCCGTATCCGATCCGTTTATTTTTGTCAGATATCAAATTCGAATGCGGATTTTGATAGATACTGAAAATCAAAACTGTATCCGCATCTGTCGAACATCAGATATATCTGTATCCGTTTCCAATTTTTAAAATCAAATTATACAATACGTTAATTTTAAATTAGATTAAAGTTAAACTATTATTAAATCAAACATAATTTGTTATGTGATAATTATTCTCTTCATTTTTCATAATTTATGATATTCTACGATAACTTCATATGATAAAAAGATATACACGACACACATATACACGTATTTTTTTATGTCTGCACATGTTTTTATGGGTTTACACATTTATTTTATACTCCCTCCGTCCCATAAATCTTTTTTCTTTCTTTTTTATCCGTCCCACAAAACACTCCTCATTTATATTAAAAAGTCACTTTTACCCCTTACTTTTTCATACCCCTAATTATCACATCATATCTTTTTACTAATAATCTATCCATCAAATCATACTTTTACCCATCACATCAAAGGATATTTTTGAAAATTCAATACCAAAATACACTCTCTTTAAATCCCTCCTAAAAAGCAAAGCTCCCATGTTTCACGGGGACGGAGGGAGTATATAACAATGTCTTATATACTTTGAAATATCAATAGAGAAACAAAATATAAACATAAAACATTAAGAAAAACTATATCTAACTGAAAGGATATTCGGATCGGTCATCCGTATCCGTTTAGTAATCGAATATCCTTAATCAGATACGGATAATATCTGTGTAAAACGGATGGAGACATTTCCTTTTTAAACGGATACTGATACAGACAATAATTGGATTTTCAAGTATCTGTTGACAGCCCTAAGTAAAAATGAGGGGGAAAGAGTTTTTGGGATGGAGTCATACTGGCCATACTGGTTGCTGTTGGAACCCTACGAAAGATAAATGACCATGCACCCATAATGCACGATGTGGTTCCATGGAATTACAATCACGACGTTTGGATGTTAAAGATCGCACGTTTGAAATAAGGAAAAATTACTTATTCGTTTGGGGTACCCACGGCGCTCCAATTGTAAAAATAACGATTCCTACCTCCTAAGTCCTAACTCTCCTACCATGGCAGTATACTACTCCCTCCGTTCTCAAAAACACTTTCTCTTTCATTTTTTATACTTCCAACAAAACACTTCCACTTTCTACACAAACTTTTACACAAACTTTTTCATATCTTACATATCACACCATATTTTTTCTTTAACAATTTATTCATCACTTCTTACTTTTACCCATTAGATTAAGGGCAAAATTAGAAGTCACATACAATTTAACACTTCTTTATTTTTGTACTTGGTCAAACTAAAAATCTCTTTCAAGAACGAAAGAAATATATATTTATCAAAATTAATATTTTGATATACTGTTATATACTATGTACATCAAAATATTATTGGAGAAAGACCAAAGTAGGACTAAAACATTGAAAATATAATAAAATAGGACTTCCATGTTTTTATTCCCGAAATAGGACTTACATTACCAAGCATGGTCATATACATTACCAAGAAAGTATAGTAATTTGCACATGTACACTGCCACATTACCACAATGCAAAGTCACATTACCACAGTGCAAAGTCCTATTCTGGAAAAGAACATGAAAGTCCTATTTTGATACTTTCTCTATGTTTTAGTCTTATTTAGTATGATTTTTAAACTATTAATCAGACTCTACAACGTAACAAGACTAACAACTATCCTAGTTCCTTCCCCCTCTAAAAGCACCCTCTTCAAAACAAAAAATGACTGAGTAATAATCATGGAACTTGTATTGGGTATGATTGTATGAACCACTACAAAAGAAATTTCTTTCAAATTGATCGATTTTCCTCACATAATGTCCACATGGTGAAAAATTCAGCAACGGGGCTCAAACCACAATACTACACAAGGTCTAAGGCATTGGAAATACCCATGAAGCCCCGAACCTTCAAACCGAGGCTTCAAACCTTCACTCCCTGACACGTCAACTTTAACTTACCTCAAACCTTCATTTTTTACATTTTAAATACACATCTTCTAAAATTAAATTAATAAAATTTAACTATTTAATTATTTAAAAGAATTGAAACGATAATAGTTCATTAAAAAATACATTCATAATAAAAAATTACATTCATTAAATAAAAAAATTAAATTCATTAAATAAAAAAATTACATTCATTAAATAAAAAATTACATTCATTAAATAAAAAAATTACATTCATTATAAAAAAACTACATTCATTAAATAAAAAAATTACATTCATGACAAAATAAAAAATGCTTGAATAATAATTTTTTTAAAAAGGCAGATAGATAGAGAAAAATTTGTATTTGTGTTGAATTTTAAAAAAATTAATTTAATTTATAGAGAAGAAAAAAGAAAAAAAGTTGGGGGGGTCCTTCAAATTGCGTCAAAGATATGACGCAGAAATTTTAACGTAGCTATAAAGGGTGAGGGACGGTGTTTAATGCCCTTAGGCTTCAAATGCCTCGTAACACCGTTGGGCATTAGAGGTATTGCCGCTGCTCTAATGAGGAGGGGTTTGCGCCCCTAAATGTTTTTAAACCAACTTCTTCTCTCTGACAAAGTCTTTTTTTATTATTACTCACGTATTTTTTTATGGGTTTCAGAAATAAATATTTTTGTGTTGACTTTTTCAAATTAACTTTAATATGATTATTAAAGTATGATCGATGAATAGATTATTAGTGAATAAGTAATAATCCTATTGCTGGAATTTTGAAACTTGAAGGGTCAATCGTTGAAGGGTCAATCGTGCACAACTTATAAAAATAAAAAACTATTTGTGGACTTTTGAAACTTGAAAACCAATCGTGCACAACGAATAAAGTTGAAGGGTTAATAATAGTAATTTTAACCGTGTAAAATTAAAAATAAAGTAATATATTTCAAAACTAAATCAAAAGTTTTACTCCCTCCGTCCCAAAAAGTTTGTTACGTTTAAATAAAAACTGCGTCCCGTAAATTCTGTTACATTTCTATTAAAAAACCACTTTTACCCCTTACTTTTTCATACTCTACCTATCACATCATACCTTTTTCCTAATAATCTACCCATTACATCCTACTTTTACCCATCACATCAAGGGTATTTTTGGAAAGTTAACACCAAAATATACCTCCCTTAATTTCCAAAAAGTCAAACCGTCCCTTTTTTTGGGACGGAGGGAGTATAAAACAAGGAAAAAAGTCTACCTTTCTTCTTTTTTTGTTTTGACAGCTACTGTGTGTCTTACTTAGTGTAACGTGCGATAACTGCGAAATGGATAAAAAAGATTTTAAATATTTGGAGTACTTAACCATCGGATAAAACTAGAGTTCTTCAAAAGGCTCATGGATCCCACCAGATGATGATTTACTCACCCCGTCCTTGAGAAGTCAAGTCATGATGTCTATTTTCATATGCTCTGATATATGATTTTTTTTGGAGTAATTTTATATGCTTTCTTTTATAAAAGAGAGACTCAGATAAAACTAGGGCTCTTCAAATTATCTATGGGTCCTTAATTTATTGCTCACTCCGTACTTCAGAAAAGGTAATGATGTTTATTCTCAATTTCTCATTCTCCCATCTTCCAATACTTTGTTCAATAATTTCTATGTGCCAGTGGATGTTGCGCAGTTGGCAAGGCAAAGGGGTGTCAAGGAGTAAGGCTCGAGTTCGATTTCTGAAAACTGCTCTCTGCAAATACTAAGTGCAGACTCCACTCTTTGTCATGCACCAATCTACTATTAAAGTCCCAATTACCTCCTCTCAATGACCGTCCGGTCGGGTCTGAGAGAGTCCTCGGGGATGGGGGCTCATCCTTTTTTTCAATAATTTTTATGTCCTAATTTAAATCATACGGAGTATATTCTATCTGTTTCTTTAAACACTTCCCATTTTGATTTTGTGTCAAAATAAGAAAATTATAATTTTGGTTGACTTTCCAATTTTGCCCCTGATGTGATGGGTAAAAGTAAGATGTGATAATTTGGTTATTAGTGAAAAAGTAAGGGTAAAAGTGATTTTTTAAAGAAAATGGAAATATTTTAATGAATTGGAAAAAATGAAAGGGAGAGAGTTTTGTGGAACGGATGGAGTATTTACTTTTCACATAGTCAAATTTTACACAGTTTTTAGTTCATTTTGTTGCTCATTTAGTGAAATAATATTTTCATTTCACCTAAAGAAACTTTGATGTAGTTTTCTCAATATACTCCCTCCGTCCCCAATTTGATTACAAATTGCGGGTTACGGAGTAAAATTTCCTACTTTTTGAAATTATTTTATTTACAAATTGGTATTTCAATAAGCTATAAAAATTACATATTAAAAAACTACGTCAAAAGTTCTACAAAACAAGAGGTGACAAGAATATTTTATTTTATCAAATACTTGATGAAATCACGTAAACAAACAAAAGTTATCGAGAGGAGAGAGAAAAAAAATTGTAATCTATTTAGGGACGGAAGGAGTATAAAAACTCAATATTTTGAAACTAAGTTTCAAAATTAATTTATTGATGTTAAATTTAAATAATAATTTAATGAAATCTTTTTGTTATTCATTTTTAAAACATCGATTACAAAAGTCAAACTAAGAAAAAGGATGAGCAAAGCTCATAGTTTTATACTTTTATGATAAGATATGAGGAAATATATAAAGGAACTGGGTCTGAGTCGGAACTTATGGTTGCAAACTATTGAATCCGACATGTTCCCAAGATACGTCGGGTCTACCATTGGTGATACATTATTAGAATCAAACCCGTTCGGGTCATGATCCGGTCATGTCCGACACATGGTCTAAGCAGTTGAAAACGTATATTACGGAGTATGTGACAACATTTAGACCATATTTTTTTTGGGCACAAATAGTTACATTTCTTGAAGTTATCAAATTTTTAATAGATTCAATGACTAGGTTAAAGAAAAACTAAAATAGTTGTTTATTTTTTAATTCTATATACTATTCTAACATATTTACTTTTAAAAACTTAAATGACACACATTAAAGTACTTTAGTAAAGAAATATGAATTCTCATACTAGATGATTCTAGTTTCTCATTAAACACTTTTAATCACAAATACATTATTTATTTTTTAAACCCCACAAAAAAACTAAAATCGCTATTTATTTATATCGAATTGGGTCTAATAGTTCCGAAATACTCCCTCCGTCCCACTGTATTTGTCCACTTACCTTTTGGCACACCATCCAATGCACTTCTTTAATCCATTTTATCTTGTAATTTGTATATTAAAAAATTATACAAATTATATATTAATAATCTATATGTTAAGATGAATCAAACAAGACCACACATGACTATTTTTAGGCTTACACATTAAGAGAATTTGATCAGTCAAAATGCTTAGATGAACAGTGCCAAAAGTCAAATGTGGACAAAGACAATGCGACGGAGGTAGTAGAGTGACAAGAACAAGGACCCACTTAAAAATATTCAAATGAGTTTGAATCCTTGTTCGGTAAACAGAAAAAAATATCTAGCATATTCCTACAAAATAATTGTCGAGTTTGGGTCTAATCCCGACCCACTTAGAGGCATAGATATGAGTTAAAATTAAAAAAAAAAAAAAAGATATTGTATAAATTTTGAAATATGAAACAAATGTGTTTGTAGAAAAACAAGAATGAAATCAAATCACATGCAAATGTCACATACTCCCTCCGTCCTAAAACTTTCTTCTCAGTTTGACTTTTCCCCATTTTTAATTTTTGTCTTTGACTTCAAATTTTACCCTCCTTAAAAAAGATATTTTTAAATTTTTTTTTTTGCAATCATTCAAAATATAGAGTTAGAAGATAATTGGTGTAAATACATGAGGGTATTAATGTCATTTATCATCTTTTTTTTCTAATGGGAAGGTAGTTTTAGGACGGAGAAAAGGGGGAAGTGGGAAGAAAGTTTTAGGACGGAGGGAGTAATATTTTACTCCCTATGTCCCTAATTTGATTACAAATTGAGACCTACGAGATAGAATCTCTCTTTTTTTTGGTTTGGAAAGTTACCTCGTACCGATCCAAATACCGGAGAAAACATTCGGTTAGGTACGGTACGGTTCTTTGTTGGCACTTTATCAGTTTGGTATTTTTCAATTTGTTAATCACGGGGTTTTCAAGAAATTTCGAGATTAGTTAGGCAATTGCTCCTCCTACTCTCAAGTAGTCTCCCTTAATTACTCCGTATTATTTTTCATCCAACAAAAAGTCATATTCCCTAGTAAGACCGCCTGTAATATAAGAGCATGTATAAAGGCAAGGCAAAAAAAATTGTCACACAATGACATGTAACTCTTCAACAAATCAGAAATAATCCAGTCAGTGTGTGGCATGGGAGAGGAGTGACATTTCATGCAGTGGCAAGTCAATGTTTTCTCATTTTTTATTTTTTTTTGATATATTTTAATTATAAAAAATATTTTTATTTATCTTTTTTTTATAAAAATAGATGTACTTTTTATATAAAAAATTCCTCTTTATTGTACAAAAAAGAAAGAAATAAAAACAAATTAAAAAAAAGAAATTGGGAAAGGAGTGCCTTGCTCATGACTCTCAAACCATGGAGGAATAGGGATGCCATGCAAGGCATTAGGAGAAATTGGGTGATGTGGCAGGGAGTGGGAGGCAATGCCTCGCCACTGGCTTTGCTCTAATGTGGCTATGCCACGTCCTTCTCCCCCGAAAAAAAACTGAGGAAATCAAATCACATGCAAATGTCAGAGACTGAGTCTCTCATCTTTTGAAATCATTTTATTTACAAATTGATACGGAGTATATCAATAAGAAACAAAAAATTACAAATTAATCAAGAGTTCTACAAAACAAGAGATGATAGAGAAATTTTATTTTAACAAATACTTACTCAAAACACATAAAAGTAATCTTGAAGAGAGAGAGAGAGAGAGAGAAAACACTGTATTCTATTTCGGGACAAGAGAGAAATATAGTGCATGATGGTTTAAAATAGTCTGAGTTTGGCCAATTGACCGATGTAATCAACAGAGTGTAGGAGGAGATCAAACCCAAACTAAAACTTGCCCACAGTATCAATCAATCTAATAAGCCCAACCACTCATGACATACGCAAGGCTGACAATATGAACCAACCCAATAACACTAAGTCATGAACAAGAGTAAAGGAATAATAGTAATAATAATACAAAGATAAATAATACAACAGTACAGAGATAATAATAATAATAATAATAATAATAATAATAATAATAATTATACTGCCACAAAGATAAACAAGTCCTGGTGCTCTCCCTCCTGTTTGCATATATAAATAATTACCACATACACTCATCGTCCTCATCTCCCTCAGCATCTGTGGACCAATCGCCAGTTAAATAACACCAACGGTCGTACTTATACTCTCCCTTTTTCACAATTTCATCATGCAATTTCAAGGCTTCAACATCTCCCCGCTCTCTTAGCATTTCCTGCAATGTGTAAACGAATGCTATTTTTAGCCTCCAAAATATTTTGCCAACTAACTACTACTACACACTAAAATTTGCTTCATCCGTCCCATTTTCTTTGTCCACCCCCTTACAAAGCTGCCATCATGCTGTTGGGGCTTTGTTGTGTGCATTTATTTATAAAAGTAATTGCGAGAATAATCCAATCGATGTCACGAATTCCATATCAATCCAATTACACAAACAAAATGGAACGGTATCATGAAACCAAGGAGTAGAAGAAATATAATTTTTATTTCAAAAGCACAAGGTAAAAGCCTAACCACAATCATCTTCACGGCATCTGGAACCTCACTTTCAGAATCCCCGACAATGCTGAGCTCTATGGAACCACTTCCACAATCTGTTAGTCTGACTTCAACTCCCGCAGCCAATGAAGCACGAATACTATTTATTAACTTGCCTCTTTCACGAGTCAATAGATCGGCATGATCCATTGTAAGTTTCACTACACAGTTTGGCTGAAAATTTTGAGATATAACATGTGCACAATTAAGCTCTTCAACCTCAATACATATGTATAAACGAGAGAGAGGGAGAGAGAGAGAGAGAGAGAGAGAGAGAGTCAATGCTAAAAATAAGCTTAAAACTAGAAACCATAGAAGAAACATTAACCTTGCCGAAGACAAACACATCTACAGATATCTTCTTTTTGTCGTCAAATGAAACCATCAGCTTTGGCGCATCTCTTCCATAGACATACACTTCACGAGCTAATCCACTAGATGGGAGATTGCGCATCTGAAATACAACACTGGCTTCATTTTGAGTGGAATGTGGAAATAAATCATTTTTTTTTCAAAACACGAGAGAGGCTCTTGCCTTCATTCCCATCGAATGTATGACACTCTTCTCATATCGGAACTCTTCATTAACACACAAAAAAATCCCCACGAGCGTCGTACAAACATCAAGAGGCTTTCCCTCTACATGAACCATCATATCATCAACACCCTGAAGCGGAAAACGTTGAAGCGGAAAACATGATGGATAACCTACAAAATTACAGAAGATACATTCAAAAGAATATACACTTACCTGTTTTGAATTTTCAAATCTTGATGCAGAATAAACTACAAAAATAGGTACAGGCAACACAACGACTACAAGTACAATCCCACAGAGTTAGGGTCTGAGGAGGGTGTGTATGCAACCTTACCCTACTCGGAAGTAGAGAGGTTGTTAGCAAAAGACCAAGCTCGAGCAATACAGCAAGCACAAACCACGAAGAAAGAAGCATATACCAGACTAAAGATAAAATGAACCCACTCCCATCCGCCCCCGAATAACGTCTTTCTGACACATCCAACATAGCCACAACATATAGCTGGTGAATGTGAGTTTTCTTAACTGCATAGCACTCTCACGAAGGACCTGAAGAAATTCCCATTCATCTTTCCCAAAATCTTCCCGTCACAAGTACCTCTGAAGCCAACTTCCACTTGGCCCAAACAACTCCAATATCATGAGAAACATCCCCGTCAATCTCTCCATCAACCTGGATGATCGAGCAGATAACGGAACTTGTCTCTCTTTGGCATAAGGTGGGAATCAATCCTAACTTTCCCATCTAATTCCGGCACTCAACCACTGGAACAATATTCCATATAACATGGTGAGGCAGTAAGGCGGCTGCAATTTGCCCCTGAGGCTTTACATGAGGCATACGCCTCACAATGTTGAGGCAGTCGAGGCATTAAGGCGTAACCGAGCCGTAAGCCTCAATTTTGATAAGAATTTCTTCAACTATAAGGGTTATTTTAAAAAAGCTATTGGTCCTTTTTGACAAAAACTCTTTTGGGCCTATGCACTATATAGTTTCTTAAGAAAAACTTAATAAACCTAGTAGATAACTAACACTTCTTTCCCAGAAGCGTCAACATTTGTCTCTCCATCTTCACCGTACTTCTGTCCATCTTCATACTTCAGTGGCACAACTTCGCTCTTGCGGTAGTGGCTAGGGCAATAGCTTCATATTTTAATTGCTTATCCTTTATTTCTTTCATTTTATTCTTCAAACTTTTGAGACATTAATGTTTTATGTTACTGTTTTGAATTTTTATAATTCCTTTTTTTTAAGAATTAAGATAGGGTATCAAATTTTGTAAAATTCAAGAATTGTGATGTTATAATTTATTTAACATGAACATGGATTATGCATTTTGATTTACCTCAGAGTACATATTATATATTATTGTTTAGGCTTACGCCTCAAGGCATTTTGTTCCACCTCAAAAAAAGCATTCTTCAAGTACTAAAAAAACTCCATACTCAAAAATGGTGGCTTGTACTAACAATGAAAGAAAATATTATAATGCAATAATCTTCAAATACGCAAGAGATGGAATAGCAAACACAGAAAACCTGAAGTGTATATATTGATAGCACAATGTTGGGCAAGAGCAAGCCTTTGGATCTTTGTGCGGTTTATAAGATATTGTACTTCTGATTCAAAAAGAAGCAATTGCGCAGTGACCTTGGCTTGATTTGAAGTTTGATAAATGTCTGAAACACCATAAAACCGGTCAACAATTTCACCAATGCCAACGCCAGCCTTTGCCTTAGCCTCCAAAGTGTTGGCCTCCATAGCCACCATAACCTGTAAACAGAAGATGCTAAATTTATATAACACATTTTTACACAGAAAATGCAAGCATGGATTTGACATCGCAAACTGATCTCAAAGAGGAAGATAGATGATTATTTGGAAAAAAATGTATAACCAAGAGGGAAGGGCACATGAAAACTATTAGACTAACGAGATTAAATTTTAAGGTTGGCATGTATTAAAAAATTGACTATTACTTACAAATTTTGGTGGACCCTCAAAAAACTCTATCAATGACTTCTCCGTATTATAATCTTTCTTTAAGGATTCCACTGATGATCTGAACTTCTCCTCATCATGATCATTGTGTACCATCAATCTATAAACAATCCACTTAAAACCTCGCTGCAATAAAAGCCATTCATTTATACTTCGAAAAATCGGGGCACCCTCCGAGCATTCAAGCATTGGGAAATGGATCTTAGTCTCTGCAATGGACTCTTTAATAATCTCTGCAGTCGGCTCTTCAGTCCCTACATTGGACTCTTCAACAAGCTCTACAAAAACATAATTGCACATAGACTATTTGAAGTTCTATAAGACGTAAATATAGATATTCATATTGTCGGTGAAAAGAGAGACTAACCACTCCGGTGCTTCTTGGAGGCAGAATTCGCAACAACCGGGGATCCACTCCTCTTTTCACCACCTTCAATTTCCTTTAGCACATCATAATCCATATTGCCTTTTCTGAAATCTTCTGGAAATGAATAAATAAAGAGGAGAGAGCTAAAAAAGGAAATTTAAATGTGATTAAAAGCATAAGCCCCATCACATATCCCATCGTAACAATAAACACTAAATTGTTGAATTGAAAGACTGAAACAACAAAAAATCAAGTGAAGGTTGAGATTTTTTTTTTGTTAAAAAAAGACATCTTTTACTTTTACATTAAAAAAAGGTCCCATTTTTAAAGCGATGAAGAATCAAAAAGAGACATTAAAAGATAGATTAACCATTAAAAGATACTACGCATCATATATAATGCTATATAGTCATATTCCGGTGTTTTAATTCACCCGATCCTACAAAATTGAAAGATAGGAACAACCCAGTAAAATTGACCATTTTTAATTCTATGGTAATCGATTTGTAAAAGGAGTATATATATTTTTTTCATATGATCAAAAATACAAATTGAAATTCATCCAAAAAATAAGTTTAAAAAAATTGAAAGAGAATAAAGCATTCAGAAATCAAAGATAAGAACAAACCTGTAAAATTAACCATTAAAGAGAAGAATAAATGCAAGAAAGCCTACCTGGAGGATAAAATCTCAGCCGATGAACCAATCGGGACAGGGATGAAGAAGCCTCGCAGCCGCAGCCGCAGCTCTCGCTTTGTCGGGAGGATTTTTATGCAATGTGCAATTGGGCCGAGATTAGGCAGGCAAAGGGCTTTTTAAATTTATGGTCTGATCTAATTTGATCTGATCTGATATGAATGGATCTGATCTGATTGGATTTGATCTGATCTGGTCTGATCTGATCTGATTAATTATGATTTAATTTAAAATTCCAAATAAATAATTTGATTTGACTTTATAATAGTGTTTGAAAATTGTAATGATAATTCATATTATAATATAATCAATATTTTTTATTTAATGATTATTTTTGAATAAAATAAAAATAGTTAATTCATATATTAGAATAATCATTCATATTATAATGTAATAAATTTTTTAATTTTATGATTATTTTTTTGTGAAATTAGAATATTAATTTTATATTTTAATAATTACTTCATATATACATTAAAATAAATATTTAATTTAGATATACATTAAAAAGTAATTAAATTTAGATAATGAATACATAGAGGAGATATTATTTTTATTAAAATATCTCATTCTTATAAAATATCAAAACTTTAGAAACTCAAATTACAAGTAGCAATAAAAATATATTTTTTAAAGTAGAATTAGATTGATATTGTCAATGTATTTTCAAACAAATTTTTCCAACGTCTAGTAATTAAGGGTTACTTTCTCAGTTTTCTATTTAACCTATTTCTAAAGTTTATTCTTTTTCATTTTTAAGAACAAAAATAATATTAAGAACAACAACAATAATAATAATAATAATAATGATATGATTGGATCTGAACTGATCTAATTGGATCTGATCTAATCTGATTGAATCTGATCTGATCTGATTTGATCTGATTGAATCTGATCTATGCAGAGGAAGCATAACCATTTCGTTTCTAAGTATAAAGTTTCTTGCTCCAGGGAATTGGATGCACAAAAAACATAATGGCTAGGAATGAAGGATCCATATATGGCACTATTGAGTCAAGATCATATCTTAAAAAGAAGTGAAATTTGCACTAAATAGGACTAAAATATAATGACTTTCCTAATGTAAGACTTAAACTTTTTTATTCCCTAAATAAGACTTAATAATGACCTGGTGTGAGAAATAATGTCTAATAATGATGGACATTTAGTTGAATAATGACTACATGATAATGACCAAAGGTCCTACTTTGAGAAATAAAAACATATGATCCTATTGTTGGGACTGCGCGTGCCCTTACCCCAACCCCGCATTAGTATGATATTGTCTGCTCTGGGCCAAGCCCTCACGATTTTGTTTTTGGGCACCTCCCAAAAGGCCTCATACTAATGGGGTTGGGTGAACCTTTTTATTTTGGTTCGATTACTCCTATACTTCCGGTGTGGGACTTGGAGGAATCCCAACAAACCTCCCCTCATCCAAGGACCACACAACTTCCGACCTCCCCTCCAGCGGTAATCCATTTTCTGCTAACCATCTTGCACCGCCGCACACTCTTTGCGGGACACGCCGCCCGACCTCTTGTCGGGAAGACTTTCGACGCAAGGCTCGAACCGCAGATCTTTCCTTCGCTGGGCTACACCATTTTGCTCCGCCAAATCATCTTGTACCGCCGTGGCTATAACTTCACGGGACACGCCGCCCGACCTCCTCTCGTCGGGAAGACTTTCGACACAATGGCACCACCTGCGGATCCTCTTTCTTGGTCTTGGTCCTATTGTTACACCGTCACACCGAGATTTTTTCACACTACACAGTCCGCTGCTCACTCCCGAGATTTTTTCACACTACACAGTCCGCTGCTCTCTTCTATTTCAGGATTGATTACTCTTTCCAATTTGTTCTATGTGGTGGAAATTTCTATAATGTTTCTTATTGTTTTTAGCACTGGCTATGCTTCGTGCATTTACACTTCCTAACTCTGAGTATCAATACTATTTTTTAGTTTAGGAAGACCTATTGTACTGAGTCTTATTGTTATTGCTTCTTTCTACAGATGTTGTGGTTGCTCAGAAATTTTCTACATATACTAACAGTAAGGTTTCATTTACTTTTCTCCCTTAGTTTATTCCTTTACACTATGTTTGGCACAAGGATTTTGGAAGGAAAAGAAAAGAAAATGATTTTCGCTCATTTTCCTCACCAAAATGGAAGGAATTTGATTTTCCCTCCACTTGGTATATTTTGCCTCCTCATTTTCTTTTCTTTCCACTTTTCCTTTTTTTTCCCCTCTAACCAAACAAGAAAAATAGTTTTCCAATTCATTTTCTTTTCTTTTCCCTTTCAAATTCTTTGAACCAAACATAATGTTATAGTCACTTTGGAATTAGTTTATTACTTTTCTCCCTTAGTTTATTTCTTTAGAAAAGAAAAATTGAATTAAAGAAAAGTTTGATAGAAATAAACCTTTCTAATTTCTAATTTATCCTTTTTCATTGTTTCTACCCATTCTTTTGTTCAACTGAATCTCAAAAGGATAATCTATAACATTCTAAACATACTACATTTATTTGTTTTAATAATCTTTATATAGACAACTAAGTGATTATATTAGTTTGTTCTAAATGTCTTATTTTGTTTGTAGTACATATGAAATTCCAAGTTTTGTATGAAGTTCCTCCTAAACATTTCTCAAATTTAAAGTGTTTTCAAACTACTTGAACAATAGTAATGACTCAGAAGCATACCTTCAAAAATATAATCCCTCCGTCCACAAATAAACTTTCCGTTGCGCTGTTTTCACGTTCGTTGGTTATTTGACATGACTATATTATTTTATCAAATGAGTTACGAAAATAGGCCATTAAAGTGAATAAAGTTTGACCCTGTGAATACTAAACGGAAAGTTTATTTGTGGACCTGTGAATACTAAACGGAAAGTTTATTTGTGGACGGAGGGAGTAAATGAAAAAGTTTGAGACCATGACAGTAATGAAGAGTTTTGTTGCTGAAAGTAGAAAACACAAGCAATGAAAAAAAAAAGGTACCCCAATTTTACTCAGTTTTGAGCTAACCTTTGCGAGTTGTGTTTTTATATGTTTTTCTTTTAATTTGTGGAGTGGTCTAACAGTTGAAACCTAGTATAAGCAATTGGGACATGGATACTTATGATTGATGAAATGCTTACAGATTTCGCTTCCCAAAAGCAAGTTTAATTGATATGGGGGATAATGTTGACTGATTTTTCAATATGTGTATGCTAATAAATGCATGAAGACTTCTACTTTCAAAATGTATTTTTAGATGAGATTTTCTCTAATGCCCCATTATTTGAGAGGACATGTATACCCTTTCTCTAATATATTGACATGTGTACGAATGTCATAGGATGACCCCAACCTTAATGTCATAGGATGACCCGGGGCCGCTCCGGTGTCCCGTTCGTAAAATTGATGGTTCCTACCCCCCCTAACCCCCCCACCCCGGCCCTGACCCGAACACACCCCCCCACCCCCTTCAATTGCACCCTACAAGTTGATTTTGACTTTGGAGTCAAATTTTGACTCCAAAGTCAAAATCAACTTGTGGGGTGCAATTGAAGGGGGTGGGGGGGGGGTGTTCGGGTCAGGGCCGGGGTGGGGGGGTTTACCAAGGGGGTTAGGGGGGGTAGGAACCATCAATTTTACGAACGGAGCACCGGAGAGGCCCCGGGTCATCCTATGACATTAAGGTTCAATGTCATTTGAACCTTGGTGATTTTTCATTCCATTAGTTTTCTAAAGCAGAGTTTTACTTCTATACTTTTTTTTATTTTTGTCTTTATTTCATTCATCAAGTGTCAAGCGGATAATGTAATTTTTAGAATTTTTTTTATATCTTTTGTTAATTTTCTTCCTCTCTTGTTTATTTATATTGGTTTATGAAATGTGTTTTGAGCTTATTTTTCAAAAACTAACAATACAACTTCATATGTTCTTTTTACTTGACCAATTAGAATAGTTGACTGAAATCAATTATAATTCTATTTATTTAAAAATTGGTGTAAAATCAAATTTTAAACTTATATATGCATAACTTATGTAAAAAATGATAAAATAATATATGAGTAATAAACTAATTCTGGTTAAACCTACAATTTTTAAAAATGTGTGATAATAATGATAAATAAAAAAGATGAAAATTTAACCTCTTATGTAGTAAATAAGTAAATTAAAATGAATGATGGAATATTTTATTATTCTTATGGTAATATAAATATTTATATATGGAGTATTTTTTAATAAAATGTATTTAATTAGATTACACTCTTTACTCTAGATTCAAGACTTTAATTAAAATTAAAATGTAAACGTATAGTTTAAGTTTACATTTGCGTGTTTAGATAAAAAAATAAAACAAAAATTACAAAAAAAAGTTAGGGAGTAAAAAAAGTTAGGGAGTAAAAATTTAAAATTTAAAGAGTGAATGATTTTTTATTTTATTTTAGTGATGCTGGTGCACCCTCAAAGAAGCCTCTTCCTTCATATATAGATGTATCAACTTTTCTTCTTGGGTAACAAAATTGTGAATCTAAATTTTGTTTCTAATATTCTAAAATATTTTGAGCTGCGTTGATTGATGCTTTAGTATATTTGACTAATGATACATAATTTCTTTTACTGATGATATGAGATACATTGATGTTTATGCCTAAGCACCCATCACCCCTTTGAGTGCTCTCTATTGCTTATTTATGATTTGGAAATGTCAATATGAATTTGGGGGGAAAATTACAGACTATAAACTTGCCCTGATAGACATTTGATGAACTTACACTATGTTTGATTCAAGAAATTCAAAAGAGAAAAGAAAAAATTAAAACATGAAGTGAAAAATAAATTTTCTAAAACATTGATACTAACATTTATATACCTTTTGCATTAAAATATTACATTTACTTTCCCGTACATCGCACGGGTGAAATACTAGTTTGCTAATGAAAATTCATTTATATATTTCTGAAAATGAACATGTACATCTATAATCTAAATCTATTTTTTTATTGAAATCTTTGAGCAATGCCATATTTTTGGGAAGGTGCAAAAGCTATTGTTATCATCTAAAGTTAATATTTTCAATCATGTTTTTGATTTTACTCTTGAAACAATAACATAAAATTGACTGTGAGTGAATACTGATTATGTAAAAAATAATCTAGCAAATGGATGGATGATGGCTGAAGAAGTTAATAGTGACATACGTTCGTTGATCGTGCATGAGGTGTTAGGATCATTATCGTTTCCAAATAGTAAAAATAGGAACTATTTTGTTGAACGGGGAGTGTATATGGTTAATTTGTGGGGTAATAATTTTTGAAACTTTAAAACATAAAAAACTCAAAATTTATATTTTATACTCCCTCCGTCGTAAAATTAATTTCTCATTAGACTTTTCATGGTCTCCAATGTGATACTTTGACCCTCAATATCTCAATTTTTATATAAATATACCTTATAAAAATTATATATTTTCAAAACTATGTTTCAAAAAGAATCTATTGCTAATAGATTTATACGAAAATTCAATGTATATGTTTCATAATATACGGTCAAAGTTTAAAAAGTTTGACTACAAAAGTCAGACTGAGAAATTAATTTTAGGACGTAGGGAGTAACAGAATACGAATACGAAACAAACAAACATTCAAATTTAATATCAAATCGAATATCAAAAGTAATATTTATTCGAATTGAAAATAAATATGAATATGAACAATGATATCATTTTTTAAATACGAATAAAATTTCATAGTATTCGATTCTTTCACTCGTTTTACAATCCTTGTCCATACATAGACTCAAGTCCAATGTTAGATTTCGTAGAATCATTCGTAATATATAATCTCATAGTTTTTATCATTATTATCGAAAATTCGAAGAATACCCTATACCCTACAGTAACCTTTCGCATGAACGTCCCATCGAAGCTACGATATTTGAGAACTACTACCTCTGTCCTAGTGTATTTGTCCACTTTCTTTTTTACACATCATCCAATACACTTCTTTAATCCATTTTATCTTGTAATTTGTATATTAAAAAATTATAAAAATTACTCCGTATATATTAATAATCTATATGTTAAGACAAATCGAACCAGATCACACATGACTATATTTAGGCTTACACATTGAGAAAATTTGATGGGTCAAAGTGCTTAGATGAATAGTTTCAAAAGTCAAAACTGGACGAATACTTCGGACGGAGGGAGTATGTCATCTTATCACAACCACTTGTTTGTAAAAATGGAAAACCATATGTCTAAAATGAGTAAAGATGGCCTCCTTTAGAACACGTAACTCGAAACTAAAGCAGGCCACTGGGTTTGACACGACCGTCCAGTGGAACGAGCCACCTATTGGACCGCTTGAAGGAAAAGACACATCTGCCACTTTAAAAAAACAAAGAAACAATTATACAAAATCATTTCTTACTTCGTTTGCTATCTTTCTATCAATTTCAAAAAAATCCTCCTTTATTTAAACAAATTTTAACATCACACTCTTCACTTTTAGAGAAACCGAAATTCAAAAAAAAAAGCAAGAATTTTCAGTAACAATTTTGAATTTTTAAAGGGTTTAACTACATTATTGAAAGATTAAAAATTGAGAATGACACTTTTGACAAAACACAATACTTGAGCGACAGTTTTAAACATGTTTGAGAATTCAATGTCATAATTGAAAGAAAAAATAAAAGACAGTATCATTTTTGATTAAAAAAAACAAAATAGTTGAGTAACATTCTCTTAGCTTGATTCTCGAGTGGAATCTACAATACACCCCCCTCAAAAATGTATAGGAGTAGAAATCATGGGGCCGGTTTTAAAGTATGAAGAGAAATCCATATAGTCTTACCGTAATATACAACAGTTCAAAAAGTTATGGTAAAAGCGGCATCCCATTAATATTATCGATCATTTGAGACCGAATTCAACTAACTACCATTGAAATAACTAGCTAACACCATGCATCTTCGTCCTCATCCTCATCACTCTCATCGTCATCTGTGAGCCAGCAGCCAACGAAATACCCACCAGCCTCATTGCCACGACACTGCCTCGTTTTTAACACATCAGCCAATTTCTGCTCTCCAACGTTTTCCATATATTTCTGCAAGATTATCTCAGATTTTAGTCGAATACAGAGTAACTACAAATTCGAAATACCCCAGAGTTATAGATATAAAGAAACAAAGTAGAAGAGATAGGATTTTTAATTCAAAACCACAACAACTTTACCACGAGTGAGTCCATAACTTGTGTAACTAGACCGGCAGACTCCCCAACAATGACAAGCTCCACAAATCCCCTTCCACGTTCTGTTAAATTGACTTCGAATTCAGCTTCCAATGGGCCACGAATATGGTTTATCAACTTACCTTCTTCATGAGTGAAGATATCAGCATCATCCAGTCCGAATTTCACGCTAAGGTAAGGCTGAAAGTTTTGTGATTTAACGTTATGCTTAAGGTTAGAAATCATGTACATGTACTAAACGAGAGAGATAGAGAGAGAATCAGTGCTAAAAACTGAAAACATTATATAAACTGTAACCTTGCCAAGGAAAAGATAATCTGGAGACATTATCTCTTTCCCGTCTTTATATGAAGCCATCATTTTTTGTTTTCTCCCATAGATATACACTTTATGAAGCAATCCAGTAAATGGGAGATTGTGCATCTGACATACAACAGTAATTAATTAGTTCATTTGAGTGATATGTACTATGCAAACAAATCATATTTTCACGGCAAAAAGATCTTACCCTCATTTCCATTGAATGTACGAGCTCCTTTAAATGTCGGAACTCTTCATAAACACACGAAAACATATCCACGAGCGTTGTACATACGTTCTGACGTTCTCCCTCAACATCAACGATCACATCTTCATGTCCAAGAAGCATAGCAGACGATGGATAACCTAAAAAATGGCAGAAGAATAGTTTAAGAGAATCGAAGGGTTACACGAGCACTACAAAAGCCAAATACTCAAAAATGGTGGCTTGCACGCACAATGGGCCGCGGAAAAAAAGAGCCATAATGTGTTAATCTTCTTCATATACGCAAGAGATGGTAGAAAGACAAAACCTGAAGTAAAAAGATTGATTGTACATCGCTGTGCAGTAGCAAGCCTTTGAATCTTTTTCCGATTTAGAAGATACAAGACTTCTAACTTGAAAAAAAGAAGCTGTGCTCTGATCTTGGCTTGCTTTGAAGTTTGATAAATGTCTGAAAAACCATAAAAGCGGTCTACTATTTCTCTAATGCCAACACCGGACTTAGCCTTAGCATCCTCTAGGGCGTTTGCTTCCACAGCCACTAAAACCTATCAAAAGAAGAAGCTAATAACTTCAGCAAAAATAACATAATAAGAGTAGAGAGAAGGGCACATTGGGCTGGAATGAACGAGGAACCTAATATAATCTAACACAGAATTCAGCGACTATGGATAGCAACTCGAAGGTAAGGTTGACTGAGGATCACAAATACAATACCCATGCTAGAATAAACATGCAACAACAAATCAATCTTTTCAGACTATGAAGAACTCAAAAAAACCACTACATGTGTGCAGAGCCAAAACGCATGCAAATGAGCTGCAAATAGCAAAACTGCCAAGTAACAAAATATTAAAGGGAAATACAGCAGATCAGGTGACTTGAGCACCACTAGTCACAATGTACATTTCATTCCATATCAATTGAAACTCGATCAACAATGCCCTGCCAAGTCAAGGCAAAAGGCAGAATATATATATGCACATAGTTATCATCGTTACCATCATTCTCCATGTAAACATTCTGCTTTAATAATGGCCTGAAGAGCAACCTAGCAGTCACCACGACCGACCCAATGAAAGCAATCCGAAGAGTTAATGTGGAGGAAATAAAGACTCAGTATATATAGAATTCTCACTCGTTGTCAAGTTAATGAGTAAGGAAAAACTCAGTATAGAATTCATAAAATGAGGAGGAGACATGAATCAGGTGAGCAATGTGGATACACTACTACTCATGTCATTAAAAAACAAAGAGTTTGATATGAAGGAAATGCGAGCATCTCATCAACATTGTCAAATAAATGTTTTTGCTAAGGTGGGTTTGACATCTCAAACTGATCTCAACAAGCTAAGGAATATGGATGCTTATTTGGAGAGGAAAAATGTATAACCAAGAAGGAACACACATGAATACTACTAAACTAACCAGATTCTTCACTCTTCAGGTTGACATGTAAGTGAAAAAAATTCAAAAACTCTTACAAAATTTGGGGGACCCTCAAAAAGATCTATTAGTGACTTCTCCTTATCAAACTCTTGCTGCAAGGATTCCACTGATGATAAAAACCTCTCCTTTTCATCCTCAAGAACCATGAATCTGTACACTATCCACCTTAGACCGAGCTGCAAAGTAAGCCTCTCGTTCATGATTTTAAGGGCATCCTCCTTGTTATCAGGCTTTGGGTAATGGATCTTAGGCTCCTCATCAGTCTCCGAAACATCATCAGCCTTTACAATGGACTCTTTATCAATCTCTACAATCGGCTCTTCCGTCTCTACTATGGACGGATCTTCAACAACCTCTACAAAAAAAAACATCGGAATAAATAACCAACATCCCCATTCAACATGAATATCAAGATATACTAACATAAAAGAAGTAAACGGTGAGACATACTTGCATGTATAAATTTTAGGGTCGAGAAAAAAACCAGAAGTTCAATAAGCTAAGGGGGAGAATAGATATTCATATGGTTTGGTGAAAGGAAATAAAAAAAAGGCAGAGAGACAAACCACTCCGGCGGGGCTTCTTGTAGGAGGCAGGGTCGGCAACAACAGGGGATCCACTCCTCTTTTCACCGCCTTCCATTTTCTTCTCAGACGGAAAACGACGAGGAAGGTGAACCTCCTCGGTTGCAGAGAAGGGAATATCCCAAAAACAAATTTTGAAATTTCAATTACTAATTTATTGTGAGATAGTATGGACTATGGAAAGCATAAGCCTCCGGATCCCGCGTAAAGGCGTGTGTCTATGGGCTTTATATGTGGTTTTAGTATAAATCAAATACCGGTAAAAAGTAACTTGGGCCTTCCTTCTGGAATCTGGATTGGCTTCACGTAGCGGTGAATGTGGTACACTATTTAGTTCGTACCGACGTTATATCAAATAATTTAGTTTAGTATGATATTTTATATTGTACAAATTTCGATCTCGAAGTATCTATTCAATATAGTTCGTGATATTTTGATTTCAGTTAATATTGTGATGAGTATGAGTTACATAGTTTACACTTTGTGATATGAATCCAAGTCGCGATACTCCCGACTTGATCATACACGTGGGACCCATCACGAGAGCACGCGCAAAATGAATCCAAGAAAACCTTAACTTCCTCGTAAAAGCAGAGAAAGTGAGAATTGGCAAGTTTCGAGATATTTTGAAGGAGTTCTGGATGATCAGAATAGAGGACGGAGCAAAATCGTGAGACCCGGCATATAGGTCACAAATGTCTAGTGAATGGACCATGGGTCATTCACGATCAACTGTCTGAACAGGAACGAGCTGAACTTTCTGTGTTACAGACGATCGAAGGAGTTGGACTGTTTATCCACAACGGACCAGATTAAAAAAACATGTCGGACACTCTGGTTACAGGGAGGATGGACCGTTTCTTAGTCATGGTTTGTAACACCCTAATCCGTCTAAGTTTGCAGCCTTTTTGGACTAAAGTATTAACATGATAATCATAAACATTCAAAACAATCCAAACATTTTCAAACTTTATTCCACAATAAACATGACATATTATTATTATTATTTATAATTGACATACAATATGTAGGAATACACTTACTATATATAAATTACCAAACATAAAGTTTTATTATATTTAGAGATATAAATATGGTTAATTATTATTATTCATTACTAGTATTATAATAGACATACAATATGTATGAATATATTTACCATATACAAATTTTACTATGCAAAAAATTTACCATACATAAGAATTAGACCCGTGCATTACACAGTCAATGTTTTAAAATCTTAATTTATAATTTAAAATGTTAATTTTGGAGAATTTTTTATGTGTGCGCTTGACCAATTTATTATTTTTTATGAAAATTATTATATACGAGCAATAGTATATACGGAGTATGCATATTAAATATATGGAAATCTATTTATTACTCCGTATTATTTATCTAAATATAGGTGAGCGTATGACCAATTTAATATTTATAAAAGGGTGGAGTTCCAGTGCCACTAGTGGTGCCACTGGCATTTTGGGGCACCTCCGGTGCTCCGTTCGCAAAATTGACGGTTCCTACCCCTCTAACCCACCTTCTAACCCCCCCACCCTACCCTCGCCCCTGCACTCCCACCCCAACTCCGCCGTAAGCCCCCCACAAAATGTGTGGCTATTATGCGTTGCATAATAGCCACACATTTTGTGGGGGGCTTACGGCGGGGTTGGGGTGGGGTGCAGGGGCGGGGGTAGGGTGGAGGGTTTAGGGGGTGGGTTAGGGGGGGTAAGAATCGTTAATTTTGCGAACGGAGCACCGGAGGTGCCCCAAAATGCCAGTGGCACCGGAGTGGCACCGGATTCCAGTGGCACTGGAATCGGTCCGTTTATAAAAATCTATCAATTATCAAACACGGTCAAACATTATGGAGATATAGAGATTACAATTATATTCCATTATATGATCTATTTCTATTTTACAAGAATGCCGCAAATATAATTTCATATCGTAAATATGAGCCGCGCAACACAAGAGTGAGATATTAGTAATGTACTAATGTAAGATGATTGTTGAATGTCTCATCTCTTTTATTAATGAGTAATCAATAGATTGAATCGGTCTATTTATACATCACATATTCACATAAAAGATTGAATGGACTATGGAGTATGGAACATAATACTAGGGCTTTTTGTCAAGTCTTTGAGTTAAACAATAAACTTCTTATTTGGAACAATGGGTAAAGTTTTATTTATTTTTAAAATTATTTTATTTATAAATTAGTATATCAAAAAGAATTATAAATTTCATTGTTTAAAATGATATAAAAAATTTTATAAAAAAAGAGTCGACAAGAATATTTTATTTTTTGTAAAAAAAGTTATCTAAACTCTTAATAATAGTAAGTTATTGATAGTAAATGGAATTTATTTTTGGAGGGAGGGCATAAAAAGAAGCAGCCACAAGTCCTGAAGGCCATACACAATCTGCAGACGAAACGGGAGCTGGGAGAAGGGGAAGACAACAACTCGCTTTCAAGATTTCACCCTCCAGGCGTGACTTCGTTTATTTCTTCTTCTCTTTTGGATTCAGACATTGTTTTATTTACACAATGAACACAAAAGCAAATATCGAAAGCAGGCATTACCTGGAATCTGATAAGGTCCTTATTCATTCTCATTTTATAGATAAAAAATGATTCCTAGAATTTTAGAAAATTAATTTGTATTTAAAAATGTATAGTTAAAAATTATCATTTAGGAAAATTATACTTAAACATAAAGATGGAATGAAAAAAATCGGAAAAAATAAAACATTAAATCTTGAAAGCGTAGAGAGGAAACTTTACCAACATATATCAGGTCACATAGCATCCCCATGTCGTTGTTCGACCCTTAACCAGCTAAGGCGACACCTATGGTGGAATGCAGACAGATCGATTCTTGGCGTGAAGGCTAGGGTTTGGAACTCTAGCCACCGACTTTGTAATCTGACGATACATCGATGGGGGATAAGCTAGCAGAGGTGACAACAAGTCCGAGCTAGGATTTTGAGCCTAGCCTCGCCCATGGAGGATACCAGTGCAGTACTTACAAGACAGATTCAAAAAAGAGGTAACACTTCTTTTTTTTATATGCTAAGTTCTTTTTATATAAAAACTCATTGGATCTTCAGAAATTAGAGACCGATGGTGATTCATTGAGGGTTTCTGAAAGCCAGTTTGATGCACTACTCATATTTCATTCTAATGTGAGTGAGTCTCCCTTAACTTTTGTTTGAATTTCTTAATATATTTGATAATATTTGGGAATTGGTTTTGAAATTGAAATGGTAGAAAAGCAATGGAGATGGGAAAACTGCTAATGGGAATCTGTTGGTGTGCTGCAACGGTGCATCAACAAGTAGAGGCCGTAGTGAGTTGAGGCGGTGAAGAAGAAACAGAGGAGACACCTGCTTAGCCACAACCTCTCGAACACAATATCTTGCTAAAAAAGGCACATATAAATACTTCATAATTCATTTAATTTTGATTTGTCTTTACTTTCTTTTGTTCAACTTTATCACTGTTGCCAATGTTATATTTGGATGCTTAAAGTTCAGAGTCGAGCAATAAGGATTTGGATGATTGTTTGGAGAAAATGCCCCAATGAACTTCGCACAAGATATTGTTGTTTCTTCCTTTCAAGCACATACGTCGTTAGTGGTTACTAAGCTAAACCGTGGGTGATAAATAAGGTATATGAACTTCTCCCTTTTAATTTGTTGCTTTCATATATTCAAATTATGAAAACCTCTTCTCTTAAATGTATGGACTTTATTCTATTGAGGTTTCAATAATGCTGACAAAAGATCATATAGAATTGTTGAAAAAAATATGTGATGCAAATACCACCGTTTGATTTATCAAAAGCAAGCCAGTGATGATTTAACCTTAGCTTGAATAGTGCTTTTACATATTTTTGTTTGTGTTGTTTGTTGAGAATTACTAAAAAAATTGGATTCATATTCATATTGAATTCTTTATTTTGTAGTTCTTATCCTGTATTTGAGATTATCCAGTGCTTAACCTCTCTTAGGTTTTACTTTGTTCAGAAATGTGTAGTGAGTTTATTTCCTTCTTTTTAGCGTAAAAAATATGTTGGATTCATTTCATGGAACCAATGTAATTGCATGGACTATTTGGCTTGGTCTATTCTCTAAATATGTATTGATTTTGTAATCTATGATGGTACATTTGGATTGGTGTTGTTATCTAGCCTTTTCGTCTCTAAAGCTTGAAACAAATGGTAATAAGCAATAACATGAAGTCATGAACTATTTGCTATTGGCATTTGGGTCGAACTATTTATTATGGAGTCTTATCTAAATATCTAAAGACAATTGCAACAATTTGCTTGAATTTGCTCTTACCATTCTAAAATAATCTTCCTGATTACTATTTGTTGAAAGCATTTATATAAATGAGGATATGAATTTGTTTACATATATGTGATATTATGAATAAAAATATTACTCGTATAATGGAAGTTAGATTAGTTAAACCTTTCTTCATCATTCTTACTTTGATATCTAAGTTGCAGAATTTTTCATTTACAGCTCAAGAAGATAGCCACCAGTCATCGAGAATGAGATCTATTCGAGAACTTCTAGGGGTATGTTCATTAATTCACGCATTTTTGATGTTTAAGATTTATTTATCGTATTTATGGGATCCTTAATTTATGAATATTTTTGTTTTATATTTGTTCATTTTCTATTCAAAACAAATTGAAGGATGGAAACAGGTGGAGGCGAACCATCTTTTTTATACTTCAAGGCTAGAAGAGAGCAGAGGCCAACCATCTTTTTTGGAGTATAATCTGATTATCTATTTTTTAGAGGTATAATAAGTTGTTTTATGTTATATTAATACTACTATATTTCATATCCGTGCAATTCACGGCTGAAATTTTACCAAATTTTGAACCTATTGCATTTGACTCTCCTCTTGCAGGCATGTGACTTATTTAGGGCGGCACAAGATCTTCATGGGTTATTGTAGTTGAGTTAATTCGGATAACTACTTGAAGTAAAAAAAACTTCTATTCGTGTGTGTGTCAAGCTAAGTATCATATGACGTTTAATGGTCTGTTTTTAAAAGGTTATGAATTTGGCAAAAGCTTTTTTTGGTATGTGACGTTATTTAAATTTTCTTTGTATTTATTGGCAATTATTGATTTTATCTCATCTTTTGATTTCCAAATTCTCTCTTCTACAAATCCACAATGTCAGTTTTTTTGTATGTGCAGCCGAAATGCTACTTTGCTACATCTCATTGTATTTACAATATCACTTTTGCTACATCTTTTGTGTTTTTATATTGTATTTGATTGATAAATCATTAAAGTCAAGGCTGCACACTTCAATGAGTTCGAGCCTTTTTAAGTGTGATCAACATTTGTTCCGACGAATGAATTGGAGACGGAGGGAGTAAATGTCTTGGGTAAAGGTTGATGTCACCCCAGGTTTTCAACTGGTGAAAAAATAGAGGCATCAATTTTCTATTAGTGAGGCTTCATCGTGCGTAAAGGTTAAAATTCACCTACTATCAAACTTGGATTTTAACGAAGGTGTCTGACACGCTTTTAATAGTTGACATGAATAGTGTGCATTTGTCTTGCAGGATTTAATCGATCATTTTGTGGAATTTGGGGACAATTGGTCTTCCAAACTTGAAGATGATATACCCACGTACTTTTTACTTTAAAAAAGGAGAATGCAAGAGAGAAAAAAACTGAAGATTAAGGTGGTAATGAATCAATTAACAAGACATGGTGTCAAGAATAAAAATAATAATACTACATATAATTTGGTTCTTCGGTTGCTTTGCTTTTATTGTTTTTCGAAATACTAGACAATTGATATTTTACTTGAATCTTCGAGTAGTTTTTATTCGTGCTTTGATTTAAAATTGATAATATAATTCAGTTTGAACATCTATCATTTATGCCTTTTATCACTACCATCTGTATTGGAATAGAATTTTTATTGTCTATGAATTTATTATTTTTATTTTTAGAATTTATTATTTTATTCACTTTGAAGAAAATCATCTATGAATTTATGACAATTCTTAGTGCCAATAGTGGTGGATAGATTTGTTTTTGAAGCAACTAAGTGTTGAAAACTTGAAATCAAATTGTTTTGATACATAATACGGAGTATATTCAATAAGGATATGTATAGGATGAGATTAGAAAATACTCCTTCCGTCCCTAAATAAACTTCCATTTTTGACTTTTTGAGGATTTAAGGGAGGAATATTTTTGTGTTGACTTTCCAAAAATACCCTTGATGTGATGTGTAAAAGTAAAATGTGATAGATAGATTATTTAGTAAAAGGGTATGATGTGATAGGTAGGGTATGAAAAAGTAAGGGGTAAAAAGGAGTTTTTAAAGAAAGAAGAAGTTTATTTGGAGACAAAGAAAAAACGAAATATGAAGTTTATTTAGGGACGGAGAGAGTAATAATAATAATAGGCCATTCTAACGGGTAAAAGTTAATAAAATAAATTGAAATAGGTAAGTGAACACAAAATTTGTATGAACTTTTAAAAATGATATTTGACGGCACCTTTAACTTTTTTCTAAAATCCTCATTCCTCATTATATTTTATGATATGTTTACATAAAATTAGTAAAAAATTTAATTAATTTTCTTATTGACGTGATATTAAAAAAAGGAATTACATACAACTAATTTTATCTGCATTTTTATAACTTTTTTGAGACACTTTTACATACTTTAATCCACTGTATCTAAATGCCTAATACATCGAAAGACAAGGCAAATATGCACATACTCTAGCCGTCACTAAATGAATTATATAGTTCAAAGGATACGTAGAGTTGAAGAGCCGAGAAAAAATGTCATTGGCACAATTGTAATATCAAAAAATAAAGTTGGGAAAAAGTTTACATATCCCATTAAATTTCAAAGAAGACAATTCTCTATAGCTTTCTGTTTCACTATGATTATCAATAAAAACAAGGACCATGCTAGGGTGCCACCACATGGGTGCTACCATGAGTGCACCCATGTGGTGGCATCCTAGCATTTTCCTAAAAACAAGATCAGACAAGTTCATTTGTTGGATTATTTTTTACTAAGTTTTTATTCAATCACAATCAAGTTTATATTGATGTTTAGTGAGTGAAAGCAAAGCAAATACAAGATTAAAATTACTACGTATTAGTTTAAGATAATATCATGAGCCCTTTCAATTTCACCAAAAACATCATATACACTAAAAACTTTCAATATTTTATTTAAATACACATTGATATGTTCATTTCCAGAATAATTTAGAAGACTTTTATATTAAAACTTGTATTTAACCCGTGCAATGCACGAGGTCGAACACATGTTATTTTTAAGTCTGTTAATTTTTTGTTTTAAGTAAATAATTAAAAAACAAAAGTAAATATAATATAGAGTGTTAGATACGACATAAATAGAGTATGCCAACTAAAATTCATGTATATAAAAATTGAAAAGAATGTATAAATGTATCAATTAAATCCAATTTTTTAGAAAATTTTAGGGTAAACCACATTTTTGGTGCAATTGCAAGGGTTACCGTTGTCATCTAAAACTAACACTTTCAATTCTTTCTTAGTTTTCACTCGTGAAACTGCAACATAAAGTTGACCATGAGTGAATACCGATTTGGTCAAGAATAATTCAACAAATGATAAAGTTTGGTCTTGACTCTTATTGATTGTCATGCCAAAACATAAAGATATTGGAAATTGTCTTCTTTGAAACTTAAACGGTAATCCAGGATCTGACGGTATCAAATTCATTCTTGGTATGTAAACTTTCTCACCGACATTGTTTCCTGATACAACATTTGCACCAATAATGTTTCTTCGCAACTCTTCAACTATTAACCTTGTACCATTACATAACTCAGATGTTTGATCAATGCTTCCATTCCTAACTTTGAATAATAAACATGTTTAAAATACCCATTGACATAAGAATGTTCGTCTAAATACACCTTAATGTTCTTTTTTTTGTTTGCGGAGTTCTTTTTGGTGTGCTCCTGCATCTTTCCCCAAACTCCATATCTAATTTGTTTGACACTCCATTGCTGTAATTCAATTTTTTTATTTAAATAAACCTTGGGCCTTACAATTATAATCCAACAGGAGACTAAGGCTTTGTTTGGATGTCAGCTGTTGGCTGTTGGCAGTTCGTGCCAGCTGTTGTGATTGGCTGTTTAGTTAAGCTGGTTTGACTAGCAGAATAAATTAGATGATCGTTAAAAATGTTTGGTAATATTAGCTGTTTGTAATATATATATATATATATGTGTGTGTGTGTGTGTATGTATATATATATATATATATAGACACACGCGCTATTTATTTTTCATTTTTTTTACATGTAAAAATTAAATCTTTACTATATTGTGGACAATGAAAAAGTGGATTGGTGGACGTTTGGTATATTCTTGCACGAGTTACTCTACGGTAAAACCCCATTTAAAGGGTCTGGAAACCGGGCAACTCTTTTCAACGTAGTCAGGCAGCAGCTGAAGTTCCCCGATTCGCCCACAACCAGTCATGCAGCCCGTGATCTGATCCGCGGGTTACTGGTCAAAGAGCCTCAGAGCCGGTTAGGGGTAAAGAGAGAGGCAGCCGAGATCAAGCAACATCCCTTTCATATATATATATATATATATATATATATATATATATATATATATATATATATATATATATATATATAGAGTTTGGTTCCAGTGAAAAAGAGATCTAATGAAAAGAAATAAAAATGAATCTGTAACTTTCAATCGATCAATTCAAGCACGCTATCTTGGACAATGAATATGGGCATTTGTGTATTTTCATTTGTCTATCCTGATTCATGCGTTGATTTCCTTATTGATCTTCATTCTCACCTTTTACGGTCATACCCTGGTTCTCTCTCTCTCCCTCTCTCTCTCTCTCTCTCTCTCATTTTCCTCCACCAGCTATGCGAGATTCACAGATTATCTCTCACATAGTGCAACGCCGGGAAAAGCCAAAAGGCTACCTGAACCATGAGCAGATCTGGCCTAAATTCTTGCAGAGATTTCATGGGTTTATATATCACATCTTGAAGGGATACAATTATGAATTCAAGTTGTTCAATCATATAGATAGATCGCAATCACAATAAGGTTAGCAATTTATTTTTTGTTTTTAAAATATCTATAATCCAGCACCGAGTCTCAATTGTTTTGTGTTTACCTTTCTATATTCATATATTTTCAATTATTTGGGGTTTATCCATTCCGAATCTCTGTTTTTTTTTTGTGTATCTGTTTCTTTGGATGTGAGTTTTGAATGGTTGGGTTGGTTATAAAATGTGTTTGAAGGAGAAAAGTTTGTAAATTTCGTTAATTATATATAGAATTTTTCAATTTCGATTGTTGTGATAATTTGATGCCAATGAAAGATTGTGATGGATATTTGAAGATGATTTAGGTTTTAATCTGAAGTGGATTGCAAAGGAAAATATCAACATTCATCTCCAGTATTGGACTTTTAGCTTAGTAATGCATTTTGATACATTAAGAGTGCATTATGTTCAACATCTTGGACCCTAAAATTATAATGGTTTGGGATGCATCACTGTTCATACTATGATGTTCGATAAAGTTTGGTTTAGCTTTTTGTACCTAAATGCATATTAATAAGGGAGGACGCTATATGTTCTATTGGCTGTTGTTAGATATGATGTTATTTTGTTCAAATTTGTTACGTGCTCTGTTTTCTCTTGAAGTTTTGTTGAAACTTTTCAACTCTTCCATTTCCTCTTTTTTAGTTTTCTCAACTTTGTTCTGGTTTCGAAACTTATTTTAGTATTTTACCATGGAAACATAATCCCCAATATTATACCTCCTTTTAGTGCATAGATGAGTACCATGTAATGCTCCTTTGCATATTTTCTCTTATTTTTTATTCTTGTGTAGAATAAGGGAGATGGAGCATTAAATTTCATAAGATGGAGTTTATATATCCATCATGTAAGTGAACTCTCTTACCCCTCTCTACTCGGATTTTTTTTGTGATAACTCTCTCTCTCTAATTGTTCATTATGGAAAGATAATATCCACTTCATGTGAAGAGTGCAAACAAGAATAATGGAACATGGGAATTGAGATGCATATCAGGTATAACATTGAAATACAAGATGGTCTCTAATAATGGAATCCTTTGTTTTAAATTATTTTTCAAAAAGTTACAATGTCTAAGAGAAAACTTGGCTCAAACATAAAAAAACCTCGAACTAAAGAATAAGGAGGGTGGTAGAATAAGGAGGGTGGTAGTTCTGGAAATGCATAATCAAAATAATGCTCTAATTCCATGTTTTTCATCAAATCTTTTAGTTTTAGATTCATTTTATAGTAGTTTTATGGTAGTTAAAATGTGCATGGATTTCAGTAGTTGTGCATTATCAGAATTAAGCTAATGCATTTACATGAGAAAATAATGCATTATTTAAACCAAGGTAAAGCATTATACATTTTATTATTGTGCATTCTCAGAGTCAAAATGATATATGATGCATTTACACATTATAGATAGTGAAAGTTTGTAAAAAATAATGCACTTAAAATGTTGTGTGATACAATTGAGTATGAGTTTGAAGTACGTTGAATGATACTAATTTTAAAAAAGTAAAATGCATATTGGATAGGTCCAAATGCAAGATGGGAGAGTCTTTGAAAAAAAATGTTGCCTATTAGCTCAAATGGTAGAGCAGTATGTAATACAGATGTGGGTTCAAATCCCGCATGGGCAAACTATTTCAAGTCTGTTATCTGTCCTGAGTACAATGCATTCTCAGGCTTTCTAATTGCACACAAAGTCTCTCACGTGTCATTATTTGTTATTACACAAATTAATAAATTAAAATTGAATAAATTTTAAATCATTGGACATGTGATTGTGCACCACCCCAAGATAAATTCAAAAAAGTAGGTTATTAATTTTTTTTACTAAATTAGATGCACCATGCTAGGTCAAACTTTAAATCTTAGTTTTGGAGGGAGGAAGTAGAGCATTAAGAGAGTGTATAATATCTCGTAAAAAGATCAAATATATAAATTTATATCTACAAATAATAGGGAATTTTTTTGTAAAGTTTATTTTTCTTACTTTGAAATGTGAAGAAGATAATATCAAAAATTTATATTCAATATTGGTATCGTTGAGTAGATCTCGATAAACGATTTCTAACCGTATATTATTTGTTACAGACGAACTTGTGTACAAAGTATTATGTTAAAAATAAGTTAAAATAGATAGTATAATAGAATAATTAAATTAAATAAACCTAATATTTTAATATTAGCAAGAGCAATTCTTTTACAGACGGTGTTTAAATACTATACATAATAAAAATTATTTTTCTACCGTTTTCTATGGGATAATTATGGAATGTGGCTATTCTTCCGTTTTAGCACCATTAATTATGCACTGCTTTATTACTGTAATACCCTTGGTACCTCACTCTATCTAAATTTGATGCACCAGAGCACGACTTTCCTTGTAAAGTCAAATTAATTTGTAAAAATATTAGTGAACACACCAGCCGTGCGATGTGTATAATCCAAGGATTCTCCATCTTTCTTATTTCTTTCACCAAAGTCCATTCTCACTTGAACCAACCCATATATATATATATATAGACACGCTATTTATTTTTCATTTTTTTTACATGTAAAAATTAAAGGAAAAAGATGTGTTTTTTTAAAAAAGAGTAAATTCCATAAAAGGTCCTCAGTTATAGGTCATTTTACATATTTAGTCCCTACATATCAAATATTACTAATTTAGTCCCCAATTATTATATTCATTTCTACAAATAGTCCTTTATTAACATTTTCGTTAAGAACGTGGATAAAATTATAAATCTGCTTTCTCTTCTCAATTAAGCTTTCTTGCTCCCTTGCACTCCTTTTCCAAACCCGTCGCTGAGTTTCTAGCTTTGAACCCAAAACCAAAATCAATCACTCTTCTCTTAATTGTTTATCTAACTGGAGGAACGATCATTTAAGTTTTGGGTTTAAGAGCTTCAAATTCAGCGACGAGTTTGAAAAAGAGTACGAGAAGATGGAAGAAACTTAATTGAGAAGAGAGAAGTATGAATATGCAGTTTTGTCCACCTTCATAACGGAAATGTTAACAATGGACTATTCGTGGAAATGAATATAATAATTGGGGACTAAATTAGTAATATTTGATATATAGGGACTAAATTTGTAAAATGACCTCTAATATAGGAACTTCTAATTACTTATTCTATTTTATTCTCAACCTTTACTTGATTTTTTTCTTCAGACTTTCATTTCAACATAGGTAGGAATTGATACAGAATGAAATTGATTAACTTTTTTCAATAATGATGGGGCATTTGCTTTTGATCACAGCTGAAACTTCATTTTTTAGGATTTTCCCTTTTCTGCAGCTCACTTTCACCTCTCTCCTCTTTTTCGTTTCCCAAAGAACGCAGAAAAAAAACAATCGAAGGAAACATGGACTGTGATGTGTGAAAGGAAGTTGGAGGCTGTGAAAAGAGAAGTGGATCCCCTATTAATGCTGACCCTGCATCCAAAAAGCCCAGGAGTGGTTTGTCTCTATTTTTACTATTCACAAACTATATGAATATCTATATCGAACTTCAAATTGTGTGTTTTTAGCTGGATCCTAAAATTTCTATGTGCAAGTTTGCCGTCATGTCAGTTGTAGAAATTTTTGTTTCACCATCTACTCCTCTTTAGTATTTTGCGCCATTATTTATGGAGATCCACTGCTTATTCTGATGTTTCTGTAGAGCTTGTTGAAGAGTCCATTGTAGAGACTGGATACCTAATTGCAGAGATTGATAAAGAGTCCATTGTAAAGGATGATGATGAGTTGGTGGAGATTGATGAGTTCCATTGCCGAATGCCTAATGAAGAGGAAGAGAAGCATCTTCTTCGAAGAATAGATGAGAGGCTACTCTTCGAGCTAGGTCTGAAGTGGATTGTTTATAGATTGATGGTAGGCAAAGATGAAACGGAGAAGTTCATACCATCAGTGGAATCCTTAAAGAATGATTATAATGAGGGTCAGAACTCACTGATAGATTTGTTTGAGGGTCCCCCAAAATTTGTAAGTAAAAGTTGATTTTATTCGATTAAATGTCAACCTAAACTTTCTAACTTGTGAATCTGGTTAGTTTAATAGTTCTCATGTGCCTTCCATCTTGGTCATACATTTATCTCTTACCCAAAACTTTTCATCTTCCTATTTGAGATCAGTTTGCCATTTCAAATTCGCACATGCATTTTCTATTTGTAAATATGCAATATAAACGTGTGTTCTCTGAGCAAAATCGTTTATTTGACAATGTTGATGTAATTCTTGCATTGTTGTATTGAAGTATTTGTTTTTAATGAGATCAGGAGAACCTTTTGGTCGTAGAAAACTTTTAATCTATGCATGTATGGCCGTACCTATTGAAGTCATTGTGTTTTGTCCTACGACCTGCACCATTGACATTTGAAAATTTTAAACTGGTTTAGTTTATTCTCTTAAATTTATCTTTCGCAATCTTGCAGGTTATCCATTGGGATCGGGAAGATATGATTGTTGATGTAGTAGGAGAGTGTCATGATGTTAGCACGACACTAGTGGGGATGTTTTTGTGTGTTAAAGAACAGTTCTGGTATGACAAGAGGGACGTACATTCCATGGAAATGAGGGTATGTAAGATCCTCTTGCCTTTTTGAAAAAATATGATTACTTTGCACAATCCACTCAAATCAACTCAATGTTATATTCAGATGCGCAATCTCCCAGTTAGTGGATTACTTCATGAAGTGTATGTCTATGGAAGAAACGCGCCAAAGATGGTGGCTTCATATGAAGGAGGAAAGGAGATGTTGTGTCGAGAACATCTTTACTATAGCATGGTTAATGTTTCTTTTATGGTTTCTTCGTTTTTATTCATATGTATATTGAGGTTGCAAGAGTTTTTATTTTGCCAATGATACATGACAATTTTCAGCCATTCATCAGTGTGCATTTTCCAGTGGAATATGCTGATGTCTTGACTCGTGAAGATGGTAAATTTATAAACAGTGTCCGTGGCCCACCGGATGCTGGTTTAGAAGTCAGACTAGAAGAATGTGTAAGCGGAACCAACCGAACGATGAATCTAATCATTTTTGAGAAGTCCTTGAGTGCTGCTAGAGATGCTATGGAGACAGTTGTGGTAATGTTTTTTTTACTTGTGCTTTTGAGATGAAAATTCTCATCGTCTTCTACTTTTTGTTTCCTGATTCGTCGTCCCATTTTGTTTGTCCCCTTTGAGGGCGGTGACAAAGTTGGTACTTTGTATGCAATTTGGAGTGTAATTGTTAAACTAATTGGATTGGTATTAAAGTATGTTTGGAAAGCGGACAAACAAAATGGGACAAAGGGAGTGTTTATAAGTTTTGAGGTGCTTAGACTATATAGCATTACACATTGGCAGAAGAAGGTGAGAGAACTGGGAGATCCTCGGGCCTTGAAATTGGCTGATGTTCTGGGAGGCTGGTGGTTTGAGGGACATGGTTCTGCGTATTTCTCTGGCATGTGTCTCACGGACGACGAGAGAGATGAAGACGATTACTGTATGTGGTAGTTTTCGCTAACTTGAAGTTGCATGTTTTTTTTGATGAGATATATGATTTGTGCGATCAATGATAAGCAAACAGAGCTATCATTATCATATATTATAGGGTTTGCCGGCCAGTTGCTTCTCGCTAGAAAGAGGAGTGCTGGGTGGCCGCCATCCCTTATGGCCGGAGGATAAACATGCCAAATGCCATTGCCGTGTCCCCGCACGGTCTAGATGTTTCTCTGGTGTTTTGGCGTGGTTTCCCTGTCAGACACGGGCTGATGGCAACTTTAATCCAGGGAGATCTTGAAGGTCCTAGCATGGCTGAGGACAATGTCTTTGAGGTGGCATGCATCCATTGACGCGAGTGACCCCCCAGGTTTGGATGTCTTGATGATCAATGAAGCTCCCAAAGATGTCTATAATGACTGACGGGGCATGCTCTACCGAGGGATGGCTCCTGGGTGGCCATCTCTTTTGCTGATTCTTTGGGCATTGCTTTGCAGATGACAGAAAAAAGTTACCTTGACGTTAGGGCTGCCAAATGCCCGCCAACCTTTGAAGCTCCATTTTGTGAAGCTGTGAAGCGTGTTAATGAAGACAGGCCTTGGGCGATGAACAATTTCATATTTTTGAGTAAATAAATACTCGGTATTATATTTATTTTTATCAAAATATCAGCTAACTAGCTCTCGGGTCATTACAAGAAGTCATAAACCGATCATGCCAGACGATGGCAAAGAGGAAATTGAACACCTTACTTGAGGAAGAAGATCTTGATCAGGCCAAGGGTCGAACGAATGAGCGAAATGTGCCAGAGAGCTGAGAAGTCTGAAAGAATGAGTTGATTAATTTAGGGTTAATTAAGCGCAATGGAAGAAAAAAAGTACTCCGTAAAAAATTAGATGCCAACTGCCAAGTATTCAACCTTAATCAAATTGGATTTGCGCAATGGATGAAAAAGCAGGGCAATGTTTTTTTTTTTAAATTTACATTTTTAGATGTTCTTTATTTAAAAAAAGTTGTGCGTTATTCTTGAAATTTACATAAAAACAAATAAATGCTTGGGCACGCTTATGTTACGTGAGTATATAAAACTACTTTTAACTTATTTTACAAGTGTAGCAAAATTATAAAGACTTAAATTGTTTACTACACTTACTCATGTGTGGGCAAATCAAGTGCAACCAAAGACTATATTTCTCGTAGTGGGTACTGATTTTAAAAAAACTTAAAATTGACAAGTGTTCCCATTCTTTTCTGATTTCTATATAAATCGGCCTATTCTTTTAATCATACCATGCTCTCTATTTAAAATACATACGGATGGGATAATATCATTTAGGCATTATTAAGATACGGAGTATTAGGTTGGTCCACGTGAGAAGCCTGCTAGGGAACGATTTGGACCAAACACAAATTTGATTCTCGAAGTTTTTAACGATTTGTTTTATTTATCTTTTTAATAATCTTATACTCTTCTTTTTTACTAATACTGCTTCCTGCCAATAAGGGCATTCGGTCTAGTGGTATGATTCTCACTTTGACTGCGCCAGTGTATTCCGCGCGAGATTTTCAGTATTTAGGAATGTATATTGAGATTTGAGATGAAATTGCAGGGATGGAAGGGGAAAAGGTGCATAGAGTTGTGTATGAAATGAGCAAAGGGTCAAAGTATTTCGAGAACGAGGAGCGGAAGGAGGCTGAAATGAAGCAGAAAATCGAAAACATGCGTTCCCGGTGCTCAAAACTCACTAAGGCTGATATATCTCACTACACGGAGGCATGTTTGTTCTTGAAGGTTTCTTTAACTTTTGAACTCTTAAATCTAGCGGGTTATTACGATCTATGGTGTTTACAGCTGGCTGAAAAGAGGATGTTAGAGCTCGAAGCCGCGCGTGATATGACAAGAATTTGGGTACATGTAGCTATGGATGCTTTCTATGCAGCTGTTGAAACATTGAGTGATCCCTCATTAAAATGCTTGGGCACGCTTTTGTTATGTGACTATATAAAACTACTTTTAACTTCTTTTATAAGTGTAGCAAAATTATAAATTGTTTACTACACTTAGGGCTGTTTGTTTCAGCCTCTTAATGGTTCAGATGTCTGAATGATTCAGCACTTAATGGTTCAGCCTCTTAATGGTTCAGATGTCTGAATGGTTAAGAGATTTGCCTCTGAATGATTGAGTATTATACAGAGTCTGAATGGTTAATACCTCTTGTCTGAATTGATCAGACATTTGCCTCTGAATAGTTAAGATATATACTAGCTCTCAATGGTTCAAACCTCTTACTGGTTCAGCACTTAATGGTTCAGACCTCTTACTGGTTCAGCACTTACCTATTTAGAAGTTGCCAAACAGCCCCTTACTCATGTTTGGCAAATCAAGTGTTGCCAAAGACTATATTTCTCGTAGTAGGTACTGATTTTAAAAAACTTAAAATTGATAAGCGTTCCCATTCTTCTCTGATTTCAATATAAATTGGCCTATTCATTTAATCATTTCATACTCTATATTTAAAATACACACTTAGGAGATAATATCCCTGGGGACTAATCAGGTGTGGAGCCACGTAGGGTCACACGACCCCACGGAAATTTTGTAATTTATTTAATATTTGTATATATGTATTTTGGTGTATATATATATATATATTATTTTGTTACGGAAACGCTGCTAAAAGTTAGTGGATGGAACGGTGGAGTGGTTAGTGCTCAGGTGTTCTCATAAGAGGTCTTGTGTCGAGCCTGCATGGTTGAGACCAAGTTTTTTCACTTTTTCGCTTTCCTTCTTCTTGTTTTTCTTCGCTACTTTTTTTTTTTTGCTTTTTTTTTGTTTCATTCTTTTATTGTTTACTCATACTAGATTCAAACCCTTGCGTTGTACAACAAATAAATTTTCAATTTTTTTAAATGTAAATAATGTATACCTAGAAATTCATACTCCCTCCGTCCCAAATTATTTGTCACATTTCTATTACCGAGGCAAAATATTCAATTCATTTTATTTACATATTAGTAAAGAAATAAAAAATAAAAATTACATATCAAAAAGCTACATGAAAAGTTTTTCGAAATAAGAGGTGTCAAGAATATTTTATTTTATCAAATAACCAATGAAAACGTAGAAATAAACAAAAGTTCCCGCGACTTTTGAAAAAGCAAATGTGGCAAATAATTTGGGGCGGAGGGAGTATTAAATTTAGAAAACATAAATTATTTGAGTTAATGTAAAATATTCTTCATGTTCCAAATTAAAAGAGAAAGACTAAAGTAAGAGTAAAATATTGAAAATGTACTAAAATAGGACTTTTATATTTTTAATTCCGAAATTAGAGTTAAAATACATTTACATTACCAAACGTGGTCAGATATATTACCAAAAAAGTATAATAATGTGTACATGTACAGTGCCACATTACCACAGTGCAAAGTCATATTTCGAGAATAAAAACATACTTCTATTTTCGTACTTTTTCTAAGTTTTAGTCTTATTTAAAATTGATAGAGAGTAAGCTTCTCATTTCTTAAATATAATATAGATCGAGTGATAGTTCAGATCATAATTATCTTGAAACTTATTTGAATAAATAGTTCAGATCATAATTATCTTCAAGCTTTTCCTCATCTACTATAACATTTCACTAACTAAAATTTCCTCTTTCTCCACTACTCTTTTTGCAAAGAGAATTATGTCTTTCATATGCCTCTATGGTTGAGATGTTTGAGATGGCCAACTCCTTCAAATGTGTATTCTTTTACTCTATTCTTGTAAAAAAATTTCACCTTTAAATTATATGGTAAATCCTACCTCAACTTTAGTATCACATCTCCACTCCAAATCACTAATCAAGGGTGGATAAACATGAAACAATTAAGAGAGTTAATGATTGTAATAAATTGGCGATGCCTTCAATTAAGGGAGAATGACCAAAGTATGACTAAAACATTAAAAATATACTAAAATAAAATTTCCATGTTTTTATTCCCGAAATAGAATTTACATTACCAAACATGGTCATGTACATCACCAAAAAAATATAGTAATATGCACATGTATAATGTCACATTACCACAGTGCAAGCTTCTATTTCGGGAAAAGAAAAATGAAAATTCTATTTTGGTACTTTTCTATATATTTTAGTCCTATTTGGGTGATTTCTATTCAATTAATCCTAAATAACACCGCACGCCCAAAGAATAATGATGCCCCTTGATTTATTCGAAAAATCAGATCCACGGACCAGATTTCGCAGAGCATTGGGCAGGATAACACACTTTTTTTCTTTTTTTTCCTCTCCCATTCTCCCAATTCTTTTATTTATGTATAGAGTATAGATGAAATTACAAGAGTAAGAATTGAACTCACGAGTCACGACCTTAACTCATACGGAGTAACAACTAACAATTTAAGACTCAAACGACAAACCTATGAAGCTTCAAAATGCTGGCGCACTAAGCACCGTGCGGGTGCTGCTGGTTGCGCTGTGGGTACGGCACTCTTGATTTTTATTTTTATTTGAGAGGGGCAATGTTGAAGAGATTGAAAGAAATTGGGTTCAAATTGAAATAAATGAAACTTTAAATAAATTGAGTAAATGAATTGGGGAGTCGCAAAATCAGACCTGGTTCGCAGTCTTCGCACGATCCACAAGGAGAGAGAGACTTCGCCGCCATCCATCTCGATTTCGTTGCCGATCGATCACCGTCCCCTGGTCGTGCTCTCCGGCGCGGTCATCACCTGCGACCTGCGTCCGGCATCCTTCGTCAGGTATCATCTTCTCTCCTCCGTTTCCCTTCTAATCTGTAATCTGTATACTCCCTCTCTCAGCCTCTCTCTCCGTCTAAGTCTCTCCCTTTCCTCTTCCAATTGTGGTCTGTCTTGGCTATTTTAATTTGTAAGGGTACTTGGTTATTGTGTGATTAGTTTAATTAAGTGTGGGTAATTTGAAATTGGCGTGCAGTGTAGTGAACGACATGTCTTCATCTGGTTCAGCTTCAATTAACATTAATTCTGAAGTTGATGGTAATGGGAAGTTACCATTGTGGAAATATTTCAAAGTAATTTGGGACTTGTATTATGTTTCCTATCTATTTTGTGTGATGTTATGAGTTTAATTTATTTAAAAATAAGATCACTGATATATGTTGTGAATATTTCTAACATAAATACTTGTGTCTTACAATGACATGAATAATACCAATACACAATGTATAAATAAATTTGCCGCACCCGCACTCTATTTTTTAAAAAATTTCCGCACCTGTGCACTGCTCGTGCTACGATAGAGTGTCGTTTTATCGATAGAGTGCTACGATTCCTATGAATAATTAGCTTTTTATTTTTTGTTTGTCAATATCAGAGAGCACACTCCGCAGAGAGTAGAGATGTGGCGATCCACGATATCTGGAGCTAGGAAATCCTTCATTAGAAGATTTGGAGCAAAACCAAAGCATCCTACTGCCGGAATCTCTTCTCAGCTATGCTTCTCTGTCCAATCTTCATTGAATCAAAGTCCAGATTTCCTTGCTTCCGTGAACTGTGTTCTCCCACCCTCCAGAAGATTTTTCTCGTCAAGTCCTCATTTCGATTTCGATGCATCTGAGTTTCCCAACCATGGGTCTGCATCTAGTCCATGGACGGCCAGCGACTTAGATAATGGTTCTTCCTCTGTTTTTGGAGAAATTGACGATGAAATCAAAGATGTAAAAGATATCTCTTTCGGAGATGGGCTCCCTACTGAAAACGCTAGTGTTCCCTTAGTAGTCGAAGAGGATGCAGAGCCTGGGGTGTCTATAGAGAATGAGGAGAATGCAGATGAAGGCGGTTCGGTTGAAAAGGTGGAAAAAATGGTGTCTTTGCTTCAGAGTAGTGGATTGGTTGATGGATCTTTAGAGTCTAAACTCGAGGAAATCGGATTGAATGTTACCATAGATCATGTGATGAAAGTGCTCAACACTCAATGTATTCCCGGGAAAAAATTGATTGAGTTTTTCAGCTGGGCTTCTAGGAAACCAGGAATTGCAGTGACTACGTCCATGCTTGAGACGCTGACCAAAACGATATGTGCTGGTGAAATAATGAGAGATATGTATGCACTGTGGAATTTGTTGAAGGATTTGGGAGAGAAGGAGATTGGAGTTTTGAACACTGACATATTGAACAGCCTGATATCTTTCTTTTCCAGGTTTGCCAAGGGAAAAGTAGCTTATGAGGTGTTTAACAAGTTTGGGGACTTTGCTTGTGACCCGAATTCTGATACGTATTACTTCACGATTGAGGCTCTTTGTAGGCGCAAAATTTATGAATGGGCATGCTCTGCTTGTGCAAAGATGATTGATGCTCAAAAGTTCCCCGACGCGTGCAAATTGGGGAACATCATTTCTCTTTTGTGCAAGGGAAAAAGGGCTAGAGATGCACATCTTGTTTATGTGGCTGCAAAGGCGAAGGGTATTACTATACCTCAAACTTCCATCGTTTCATTGGTCAAATCCCTCTGTGAAGAAGCCGAAAATGTTCACGCTGCATTAGAGATTGTGCAGGATTTCCCTACAAACGAACGGAAGCGTGCCATTCATTCATTTTCATTAGTCATTCAAGGGTTATGTAGAAACAAAGAATTTCAAGAGGCCAAAAATTTGCTGCTAAGTATGATTGATGCAGGTCCTCCTCCTGGTAACGGTGTATTCAATACAATTATTACTGCACTGTCCAAGCAAGGGAACACCATGGGAGAGGCAATGGAGGTTCTGAAGATGATGGAGGGAAGGGGCCTCAAACCCGATGTGTACACGTACACTGTGATCGTAAGTGGTTATGTGAGGATGAGTGAGATGGAAGAGGCCTATAAACTTTTTTGTCAGGCGAAAAAGAAGCTCTCCCCCAAAGCTTCTAAGCTTAGCTTAGTCACATATCATTCTCTTATCCGCGGTTTCTGCAAGCTTGAACAATTCGACCGAGCTCTTGCGCTGTTCAGTGAAATGAAGGCAGATGGGGTTCAACCCAACCATGATGAGTATAATAAGCTCATCCAATCTCTTTGCTTGTACCCTTTGGACTGGAAGAAGGCGGAGGAGCTAATGGTGGAGATGGAGGCGAATGGGTTGCATCTGAATGCAATTACGAAAGGTCTTGTTAGAGCGGTTAAGGAGATGGAGCAGGATGCCATGCCAAAGGAGATTACAGCTCCTGTTCAAAAAAACCAAATGGGAGTACGAGGTACCGTTATAGTGTAGATTCATGTCTGTTTTTCCCATCATTCGCAGAATGTTTGGAACCATGGAGGAAAAAGGTTTTCTTTACATACCCATGGTTGATTAGTGGTTGTTCTTATTTTTTTTCCCTTTCCAATAACTCCCTAATTGTGATTCAGCTGTGAAATTTGCCTTGAAGCTGTAATCCTAAGAGGATTGCTTTTTAGGACAATTTGATTTTATGATCTCTTTTTTGCCGAGTACAATCAAGGTGAACCAATTGGAAACGCAATATGTGTAGACCCTGTGAGAAATGGCATACACAAGTACACAAAGCTAAATTCAAGGCTACACCCAAGAGCACGAACCCTTTGCTGAACATAACTTCCAAAAAGAAAAAGTTGCACCTAAGAGCATCATCAACAATGGCGAGGCAAAAATAAAATGTCATACAATGACGTGGAGTATTTTAACCAATCAAAAATAGTCTAATCAACGTGTGGCAAGTGAGTAGAATGACAAGCTCTACAGTGACAAGTCATTATTTTTATCACTTTTTTCAATTTTGTTTATATTTTTTAAACATAAAAAATTATTTTTATTATTTCTTTTATCAAAAAATTATTCTACTTATACATTTTTTTCATAAAAAAATTAAAAAAAAACTTAACAAAAAAATTATAAAAAAGAAGATAAGAAGGGTGGAGTGTCACACCCATGCCTCACCAGTCACCAAGCATGACATTTTACCTTTTTCATGTCATGATATGAGAGGAAGAAGTTGATGTGGCAGTACAAAGTTTTCCTTTTCCTTGCCACTACACATGCTCTTATAAATTGCCTTCATTTTTTAATCATCTTTCAAGTTACTATTCATGCTATTGTATTTTACACTTTTTTACTTATTTTATTTAGTGATTTGGTTAAATAATATAATCATGTTATCTCTAATCTTTTAAAACTTTTGATATAATTTTTAATTACTCTCTCTATTTTAAAAAAAGTTCTAGTTTGATTTGGCATAAATTTTAAGAAAATTTAGAAATTGTGGTTGAAAGTGATAGAGATGAAAGAGAAAAAATTTAGAATCACTCAAAATTTTTCATAAAATAAAAGAAAGCCTATTTTGGGACGTTCAGAATACAAAATAAAAAGACTTTGTTTAAGGCGAAGGGAGTACATGAGTTTTATTCTTAAAATTTATACATTTAATCAAATAAATTAAAATGAAATTAAAGTCAATCAAATCTTGTAAACTGAATTAGAAAATTAATTATAAAATGGAGGTAGTACAAAAAAAGTGCAAGTCATTCGGAATAGACCCTACTCCCATCATCCAAAAATTATCTCACAATCACTATTCACAGGGTCAAATTTCTTTGACTTTGTTGGTTTATTTTCGTTTCTCACTTGATTAATATTTTCATCTTGTCACTTCTAATTTTGTATATTTTTTATATAATTTTTAAATATGAAATTTTTATTTTTAATTCCACAATATTTTTCATATAAAATGATTTGAAAATAACTTTAGCCAAATACTATAACGCGTAACGAGAAGATGATTTTTGAACGGAGAGATTATTATTTACTCGGTATTAGATACTCCCTCCGTTCACCAAAACACTTCCTCTTATATTTTTTTTCTCTTCCATCAAAACACTTCCACTTCTATATATTAAAAACCAGTTTTATCTCTATTTTTTCTATTCTAACTATCACATCATATTTTTTCTCTTATAATCTATCCATCACACCTTATTTTTATAATTTTATCCATCGTTTCAAGAGCAAATTTAAAAATCAACTACAATTTAATTTTTTTATTTTAGTACTTAGTCAAAATGAGAAGTGTTTTCAAGAATAAAAGTAATAAAACTCAACAAAGAAAAATGTGGAAAATTTAGCGGATAGTGTAGAAAATGGTGAGAAGGGATATGCGTACGGGGAAAAATGTGCCAGACGTACGGACCGGACGATGCATCTCTGACCCATTTGCTGCTTGCGCCCATCCTTTTTAAAATTAATGCTTTTTGGACACTTGGGCGGTTGTTACTAGTTGCACCTTTCTCATCCCTACTAACATCCGTCTCCCCTTTTTTAAAAAATTTATTTTACATGTAATTTGAAATGTTACAAATAATTTAGGAGGATAGGAGTAATAGATTTATAAAAAAATGTACGGTATACTATAAATTGATGGTGTACAAATAGGATATATTAGAATATCCCTAGCGTAATTGATCTTATTTTATGTGTTCATAGCTAGATCTTTTTAACTTTAGAAGACGTTATATAAAATTATTTATGCATTTGTGAAGGTGTATAAATGTAAATGTATCTAAGGATTAAAGAAGAATTTACAATTTCTTACAAGTACCTGAACTTGGGACATTATTTTTTATTACATATCTAAATTTTATTTTGTAAATAAAAAAATGCATGCTGGAGCTTTACAAAATCTATCGGGAAGAATATTTTAACACGTTTCATGAAGTCATCTACTCATCATATAATAAAAAGATAGCTACTACGGAATTCAAAAATTATTTTCTAGTTACATGTTATGATACTTGATTAAAATTATTTTAAGTTATTTTATGTAAAAAATGGTGTGAAATTAAAAAAATAATTATTACACATTAAAAAATTACATCAAAAAATTTAAAAAAATTAATAAAATTTAACTCTATATAAATAAGAAGATAATTTTTGAACACAAATAGTAGCTAATTTGGAAAGGAAGAAAACAAAGAAAGACAAAAAAATTATGTTATGACATTCAAAATTTCAAATGATTAAATGGTGTCGACGTGTTTCCGTTATTAGTCAAAACGATATTTTGTATCCTCCTCCGTATAATCATTAATCAATCGATCTACTTTGGGCGTCTTATTTACTTTAGTCCCGTAATAATAATTTAATTTAGCGGCATGGGGTTAATGAGACACGTGTGCTGGCAGATGTCCGCTTAGGATCTTTGCAGAATCTTTGGCTTAGATTTTCTGTTTCTTCCCCTTCTTTTTTTTGACTCCCTCCCTCGTGCATATCTCATACAGGGTTAACGTTAAATGGGTTAAAACGGTGAGGTTTTTCGTCGTTTTGGACTTATTTTATAAAGAAAATGATTGTCTAAGATATTTTTAAATTAATTCTCAACAAGTAATAATTACAATGTGATCTTTTGTAATTTAGATGTATTTTTCAAATAATTTTCTATCAAGAATGCCTATTAAATTAACATTTAAATAGATGATATTTTGATATTTTCCATCATCTAAACTATGAATAAATCCTTAAAATAGTATTTTTGAATTAAGCGCGTAACTACTAGAGGAACAGACACATCCCAAATAGGTTTATGGACTCATTTCGGAAAAATATTAACTCATAAATTATCAGTTTAAAAAATACCTAATTACAAAGAAGTATTTGGAAAACATACTCTAAGTCTGAATGATAGAAAATACGAAATATCAAACTACTTTTAATTTGACTGGCATATAATAGATATTTTAGACAAAAGACCATTTAGAAAATAAAGAATCAAACAAGTAATTATAAAGAATCAAAACCGTTAATTTTTACTTATTGAAAACTAATTTCAAAAAATACTTTATTTGAAAGAATGTTCTGAGAATGCACTAATAGGTGGAATGTACATGCACGCGGCACGCCAATATTTTCATCCCATTCCATTGGGAACCAAGGGAACTTAGAACGGATTAGTGATATGATGTCCTAATTCAATTTTTTTAATTTATAAAACACTTTTTTTTAATTTATAAAACACTTTGAATAAATATAAAATTATGTACTCCTAGGTAATATATCTTAACGTTAAAAGAAATCAATAATTTCATACGCACATTTTTTATACGCAATTTATCAACAAATAAGTGCAATTAAAACATACGGAGTATATATATACAAGTATTAAAAATTTAACATTTTATTAATATTAAAATCTTACTTAATACTTGGGGTTGGACATGCATACAAGTGAAAACGGGACCAAACAGGAAACTTTTTGTTTGTCCGAGTCCTATTTTATTTTAATTTAGGATGGATTAACAAAAATTTACCGTTTGTGACATACAAACTAAGACATGTGAAAATATGTAGCTAAGTTTAATGTTAAAAAAATGAATGTGAGTTTCACAAATACTACATTCTTCATGGTAATTATTAATATGGTATGAAAGAGAAACCTTAAGACATATGTCACGTTGGGTTCATTCTCTCACAATGTATGAGTTCATTCTTTTTTTGTACGGTTTTGATAATTGATAAAAAAAAATTCTTGTAGTTATCTAACTCCATTAATTTATTTCTCAAAAAAAAAGTTGTTTTGAAAGAAAATGATTTGTTTTCAAGAGAGTTTTTTTCATACATATGGCTGAATCATTTTCTCATTTTTACTCTTTTAAGAAATCTTGTTGTGAGGTTGAAGAAGATTAAGTTTCTTGTTGTACAAGACTTATGACACTTAAGTTTTGGGTTTAAATTGAAGTCGTGTAGATGACATATCTATGAATGATTGTGTTGATGAGGCTTATGTGACTTAACCTCTCAAGTTGTAAACGATTTATCAAACACTTGATACGGAGTAATTAATACGGAGTAGTATCTTTGAAAGAGTCTATCGAAGAACGAGACTAACTATAAACAAATTTGTTTTGAAATAAATGGAAATAAGTGAGAAAAATATTGAGCTGGGTGCAAGTTAAAAAAATGGGCGCCTTTTTTCGAGCAACTAACCGACGTGTTTGAACCGACTTTGTAAGGTGTCCCTTATTTGCTTCCACATTTGTCCCTCGTTGGCGACTTAATTTGACACATGTGCTTCAAATTATGGGGGTGTCCCTTCTTGTGTCTAAATAGTTAAAGCTCAACTATTCCGTGTCAGCATAATTCAACTGGTTGAGAGGATATACGATGTAGTGGTTAATTTGAATTTAAATGTTTTTTAAGTAGCGACATGAAAAATGATAATGTTAAAAATAAACTCCGGTGTCAATATTAGGAATAAATTTTATTCTCGATATGCCTAGCCTGATTAAAATTATAATTTAATCTAATTTTTTTCAGTTTACTGTCCGAGAAGGACATCCAAAATGGGTATAGCTTTGTTTTTGTTAAAGACCAAGCTTTTGTCTCCTGTCCTCCCCACTTCCCTATAAATACACTCATCAACATATCAAACCTTCCACATTTCTCCTCATAATATGCATATATCACACATCTTTCTCTCTCACAGAAACTCACAACTTTGAAAAGAAAAAAAAAAATCTTGCAACCTCTAAACACTTCTTGCTTGAAAAAAAAACCATTGGAAGAAGAAGAACAAGAAAAGAAATGGAAAACTATGATATCTTGTGTATTTTCATACTAATAGTCACCCTCTTTCTCTGTGTGTTAACTTCATATAGTATTATTATCCTTTTGGCTGCTGCAACAAGAAAGAAGAAAGCAATAAAGCTCCCTCCAGGCTCAATGGGATGGCCATACATAGGCCAAACTCTTCAACTCTATGCTCAACACCCAAACATCTTTTACTCCCACAAACACGCTAGGTTAATTTCATGCAACTTTAGTTTCATTTCTTGTTCTTTTGTTTACAGTTTTTTTTATAAAAGATGGGTTTTTGTGGTTAGGTATGGGGAAATCTTCAAGACTAGGGTGTTGGGTTACTCTTGTGTGATGATGGCTAGCCCTGAGGCTGTGAGGTTCGTGCTCGTGACCCATGCTCATCTCTTCAAGCCCACGTACCCGAAGAGCAAGGAGGATTTGATCGGGCCATCGGCCCTCTTCTTCCACCAAGGAGACTACCACTTGGGCATTAGGAAAATGGTTCAAAGGTGCTTAAGCCCAGAGGCCATTGGCACCTTTGTTGCAGACATTGAGAGCATCACGTTGTCCGTGTTGGGCTCTTGGGAGGATGGCGAGGTCGTCACCACCTTCTCCCAGATGAAAAAGGTGTGTCTCTGCGCATTAGAGTTTAAAACTCTGTCTGAGCTTTTTGTTGAGTTGGTTTCTTTTTTACAGTTTCGGACATGAGAAGTAACAAAGAATTTTTAAATTTTTCTGATATCGAATGAATTTTGTTGTATGGTCAGCTGTCGTTCGAAGTCGGTATCCTGGTTATATTTGGACAATTGGAGGATCACTACAAGGAAGAGCTGAGGAAGAATTATTCAATCGTTGAGGAAGGGTTCAATTCGTTTCCAATGAGGATTCCGGGAAGTCGATACGCCAAAGCTATGAAGGTCTTTATCCAATTTAGAACATTTAAACTATTAGTCATTCATCACTACTTTTTTTTAATACTTGCATTTGTGATTTCTAAATGGTTGAAAACATACAGGCAAGAAAGAGGCTGAGCAAAATACTAAGCGAAATTATGACAGAGAGGAAGGAGAAGAAGCCATCACAGAATGAACTGTTGAGTTGTTTCCTGGGTTCTAAAGATGAGAATGGAATGTGTCTCAATGATGACCAAATTGCCGACAACATCATCGGCGTTCTTTTCGCTGCTCAGCACACGACCGCAAGCTCCTTGACGTGGATCGTCAAGTACCTCCACGATGACCCCAAGCTTCTTCGCTCGGTCAAGGTGAATGAATGAATGAATGAATGAACTTTTTGATAAGTAATGAAACATTTTTATGATAGAACTACAATTTACACAGCTTAAGATCCTTTGTTTGTTTCTTTCAGGTTGAACAGAAAGCAATTGGAGAATCGAATGCGAAAGGAACTCACCATTTGACATGGAGAAACACCAGAGAAATGCCCCTTACTTCCAAGGTTGTCTTGGAGAGTTTGAGAATGGCAAGCATTATATCTTACACATTCAGAGAGGCTGTGAAGGATGTTGAGTACAAAGGTATAATTATTGTACTTTTGTGACAAAGAAAAAAAACTGCTAAATATTTTCTGACACAAATATATATATGTAACCATGTAGGGTACCTAATTCCTAAAGGCTGGAAGGTTATGCCTTCCTTCAGGAATTGTCATCATAATCCAGCTTTCTTTCCTGATCCACAGAAATTTGACCCTTACAGATTTGAGGTATGCCCTCCAAGCAGTTTTTCAACTAAATGATAGCATGCATTTTTCAAGGAAGTTATAAAAAGTGATAAAAATAAATTATTTTGATTTCTTTTCTTCATTTTCTGATCTTCTTCTTTACAGAAAGCTCCAAAGCCGAATACATTCATGCCTTTTGGCAGCGGCGTACATGCCTGCCCTGGAAACGAACTTGCCAAGCTTGAAATGTTAATAATGACTCATCATCTCGTTACCAAGTTCAGGTAAAAAAAAAAAATGGAAAAAGCATATGTGTTTCGATTTGGTACCATATGGTGACAATAAAAGAAGCCATGTCTCTGAGATCACTGTTGGATGCAGGTGGGAAGTGGTAGGGGGTGAAAATGGAATTCAGTATGATCCATACCCAGTTCCTATACACGGGTTACCGGCCAAGTTTTGGAGGGAATCTGAAGAAACATGAAGCAGCAGCTTAATCCATCTGTTTGACATTTTTTGTCTATAAATTGTTTCCTTTTATTGTTGTTTTCTGTGTCAAAGGATCATGGATCCTGAGTAGATTTCTAGCAAGCTTAGACACTTGTACAATGTCTTCTACACAGCTAAAAAATGGTGTCAATGGAACAAAACCTATAGAATTTGTTTGAATGAATTTTATTCCCTCCTTTCTTGTGTTCTTCACACTGTTGATCTCTGTATTAGAGCTGTGAATGTAAAAAACAGTTGAAACACCAACTCGAAATGACAAAAACTCCAATATTCCAACTGTGAATGATATATATTGATATGTACACAAAACAATGAACAAAATGTGCACTTACAATTATGTTCCCGTATGTAAACTATACGCACCGAATCAATCTATCAACATCTCTTAAAGAACAGTATAAGGGTAGTTCACATAGAGGGCATCATCATGCTGTCTTGGAGCTCTTTTTTCTGGCCAAGAACATGAAAATCCGAGGGAAGAAGGATCTTCGCTTCTTCTTCGTGGTCTTTGTGGCTTCAAGAGATGGTTCGTGTTCCACGCTGCCTTCTTGCGTAAATGGATTCTCATGATTGCTTTCGTGCACGTTTCCTTTTGGAGACCTATGATGGAGTATGGATGCATCATGTTCTTTCCTGTCTTCAAAACTCAATCTTGGGCAGCTATTTCGGTTAACAGATTCGCTGATTCTCCGTCTTTCCTCATGCACTTCCCTCCATTTCCTCAGCTCCTGTTCCACAGCAAGCTTCCCTCCCTTGGCTTCCTCAGCTTTCTGCACTGCAGTTTCTAGTGCTTTCTTTTTCCCAGCCAACTGTTGGTTGACATCCTCAAGCTTCTTCATGCTCTTGAGTTCTGACTCTTTGGCGACATCGATTTGGGACATGGCAGCTGCGATTCTTGCATTTGCTTCTTCTTCTGCAGCATGTGTCTGTTTGCTTAACTCATAGTACTCTTCTAAGGATATTTTCACACCAGTTGGCGAATCCCATTCTTTGTTCTTTCGAGCTGATTCGCTCTCTTCCAGTGCGTTCATGGCTGCTAATGCCAGTTTCTCTGCAGCTTTTGCAGCTTCTATCTCCTTATGAACTGCATGTAGTTGATTATCTATAGCATTAGCTTCTGCCTTGGCCTGCTCGGCTTCTTCCTTTGCCCTCCATAGTTCTGCCTGTCTTGTTTCAGCAAGAGATTTTGCCTGATTTGCATCTTGAGCAACCACCTGCAACTGCTTTGTAAGCTCCACCATCCTCTCTCTTGCTTCTTTCTCTTTTATCTGCGCGAGGGAAATATCGGATCTGGTTCTGTTCAGCTCAGCTTCAATGGATGCAGCAGAGATCGACACCATTTCTTCTCTCTGTTGAGTACCGGCGAGTTCAGCCTTCTCTCTTTCCAGTTCTGTCTCTAACGACGCGGCGGTTAATCTCAAGCAATTCACTTCAGAAGCAGCTTTCTCTGCTTGAAGCTTCAATTCTTCAATCTCTCTTCTGGTTGATTCCACCGCCGCTTGGATTCCAGAATGAGTTCTTCCCACATCGGCTTCTTCGTGTTGTTGAGGCTTCGTCTCCATGTAAGCGGCGAGTTCTGCCTTCAAGTCGTGTAACAAAGCCGAAGCGGTTTGCAGATCTGATTTCAGTTCATTTGCAGAGAGGATCTGTTGATTTAACCTAGATATTTCATCTTCGGCCTTCTTCACTTCTTCCTCCCAGTAAAGTGTGTCTTGCTCTCTCGCCAGATCCGCTCCGATTCGATGATCCTCCGCCTCCAGATGCGCGGCGTGCGCCGCCTCTAGGTTTTGCTTCATCGTTATCAGCTCAACCGTCAGATCCTCCACGCACTTCTCGACTTCCTTCGACTCGGAGACGGCTTCCTCCCCCTTCCTCACCGCCGCGTCTCTCTCGGACACCAGCACCGCGTAGTCTGCGCGGAGTTGTTCCAGCTCGGACCTCACCGTCTGGAGCTCCGACACGGCGGAGGCGTGTCGTGCTTTGGCAACCTCGAGTTGGGCTTTGGTTGCAATGCTGGCCTCGTCGGCGATCCCTTGCTCCATCTCTTCCACTCTCAGCTTCGCAAGCTCGGAGTCCTGCCTCGCCTGCTGCTCTTCTGTCTGTGCTCTCTCAAGGTTGAGCTTCAATTCCTCTATCAGTCTTCTCGTTCCATCCAACTCCTTTAACACTTGCATTTTAGCCTCTTCAGATTCTTCGCATTGCTTTTTGAATATCGGAATCTCCTCCTGCAGTTTCTCTAGCTCTTGATCAATACACTTCCGCCTCTGCATCATCATCATCATCAAGTCATTGACAGATAATTCTTAAAGGTAGTATAAAATCAACACATATTATTATTCTTATTATTATATACCTCCACAGTCTGAATTCGATGAGCCTTCCAATCAACAATTCCTCCAAATTTAGAAACAGCATGCTTCACAGATTCAATAGGCATTGCCGTGTCGATCTGAACTCTGTCAATGCCTGCATTTTCAGGACGATTGGAAGGGAAAGAGGCTGACTGTTTAGCAGCAAAGCTGCTAATTTTCGCTTGGCGTAACCTAGCATCATCATCATCATGATCATCATCATCATCATCATGGGATGGCACTAAATGAGTGGAAACTTTGGCTAATGACTGCTGATCAACAGCACCATCTAATGGCATTACATGAACTGGAACATCTGCCGTGTGCTGATCCGAAAAACTGGTCACGAGCAGATCGGTGTCACGTGATGGCTCCAGATGATCAGAAACATTGGCTTGGAGGTGAGCAGCGCTGTCCAAATCCAATGGCAACAACTGATTGACAATATCATCAGCGGCCTCTCTCGTTTCTGGACGGGAAGAGGATGTTAAATTATCATCGCTGGCATTGTCATTGTGTTGAGAAGTGATAATTATGTCTCCAAGAAGATCTATAGCCGGATCCAACGGAGTTGTTTCATGTTCCTTTGTTACTCCCTCTTGAAACTTTGCACTCTCTGAATCCGTCAATAAGAAGTCTGAGGTATCAACAAGTGGTTGTGATGCTTCAACAGGTTTCGTATCCGATGAAACGGAACTGAGTGATGATGATTCATCTTTGAGTGGAGAAATAATCATAGGAGATTCCACAATTCCACAATAATCAACTTCACAAGGAGACTTCAAAATCAAATTTATGCCTGATGTGGACAAATTACTCTGATCCTGTCTAGGATGATCACATATGGAATCATCCACAGGCGAAGCGTGTGCCTCAAATTCTACAATTTGACTCATACTTTTATCCGTTTCGGATACCCTATCCGGTGAATCATCCGTAGTTGATGATGTTACTTCAGTAGTTCCCGGAAAGGATTCAGAGGGAATATCTCTCTTCATATTTTCCATTTCCTCCACTTAAGGCGAGCAAAACTGAAGGTACCTCCTGGTATTAGATGTAAAACCAAATAAAAGTTACAGCAAGCATTGTAGAGAAAGTGATTTTAGCAACTACGGAATAGATATGTCAGCATCTAAGGAAGATGGTTATTGATACCTATCAAGGAGACCATTTTAGCAATGATTTTGAGAAAGTGATTATGAATGTCTGAAATTGGGTTCCACATTTTTCAAAATGATTTGTATTCCTATTAATTTGTTCTCTTACACTTAAAAAATCAAATTTTTTTTAATTGTCTTTTTTTCCTCTTTACTTCTGTATATGAGGTTTGTATCAAATTTTGATGAATTGCATTAATAAATGAACCTTTTCTTTAAGAATAAATCATTTGCAAAATTGATATCAGTAAATCTGAGACAAACTCATCATCAAAATCCTCAAGTAGGGTAACATAAAAATCCCCAAATAAATCTATTTATCCTCATCCATAGCCAAAATTTGCTATATCATTTATTGTTTCTCAACATGTGTAGATAAAAATCAAAAGAACATACCAGGAATCAATCACATGAAACACGATGGGGAGGTGATAAAATAATGCTGGAACTTAAAAAATTAAATCTTTTTGTGCCTCTCCATCTGGCATAAAAAAAACTCTAAAGCTTGGAAATGGAGAAAAGATGACAATTCATTAAACCAAAAACCTAATGTGATTAATTATTTAGTTTTTCTGGTTTTGTCTGAATGGTCTTTGTGGTTTAAACTTTAAACGATGCATGTTTCTTTTTTTTACCACAAGAAAATCAAGGATCCACAATTCTCCGCCCTTGAATTATTCCAATATGGTTGTTGAAATTGGAAAAAGAAATTGGAAAAAGGGTTAGTAGGCTTCCACATTCATTTTCTAATACTCCTTCCGTAAAGAGTAATTACTTTTCACATAATCAAATTGTACATACTCCGTATTTTTTTACTTAATAATTTCGTTGCTCGTTCAGTGAAACAATAGTTTCATATCACCTAAAGAAACTTTGATGTAGTTTTCTCAATATATAAAAATTTAATATTTATCCAAATTTAAAACATCGATTACAAAAGTCAAACTAAGGGGTGTATTCAATCCAAATATTGTAGGATTTTTTTGGATTTTAAAAGTCAATGTGTATTCAATTGAGATTTTAATGATATGATTATATGAAGAACATGTGGTTTTTATTCTACGGCGAAATGGAGGAAGAAGATTTTAAATATTAGGAGTACTTAACCATCGGATAAAACTAGGATTCTTCAAAAGATTCATGGGTCCCAACAGATGATGATTTACTCATCCTGTCCTTAAGTAGTCATGTCATGATGTTTATTCCTATATGCTCTGATATTTGCTTTCTTTTCTTCGCCCAATGAAATATGGAGTATAAAAGAGAGAGTACAATTAACCATCAAATAAAACTAGGGCTCTTCAAATTATCCATGGTTCCTTAATTTACTCACTCCGTACTTCAGAAATCAGGTCATGATGTTTATTCTCATTCTCTCATCTTCCAATACTCCTTCAGTAATTTCTATGTGCAGGTGAACATTGCGCAGTTGACAAGGCTAGAGTTGCCAAGGTTGTATTCAATTGAGATTTTAATGATATGATTATATGAACGACATGTGGTTTTTATTCTACGGCAAAATGGATGAAGAAGATTTTAAATATTGGGAGTACTTAACCATCGAATAAAACTAGGGTTCTTCAAAAGGTTTACTCATCGCGTCCTTGAGAAGAGCCCTAGTTTTATCTGGTGGTTATTATAGTCTCTCCTTTTTTATCAAAGCGGAGTAAAGGCCTCAATTTTGCCGGTGACACATTATGACACTGACAATATGAACCCTATAAGTCATAAACAAGAGTAAAAGAATAATAGTAATAATACAAAGATAAATAAGTCAAGGGAGCTCCCTCCGTCATCTCATGAATAATCCAACTAGAGATTACCCAATCCAAGTAATTTTTTGGCACTTTTGCGTTACTCGGATTTGGTAATCCTTCTGTTTACGTTTATACTCATTTAGTAGGAACCAAATTAGAGCATTTTACCATATTACTTCTAAAGCAATCCAAAACTTGTAAAATACTAGACTCGAACCCGTGCGTTGCACGGCCCAATTAAAAGCTAAATAATGAGTGAAAGTATTGTCGTTGGAATTCGATATGATTAAATTAACATAAGACTATAGAATGAAATATTTCAGTGCAGGAAATATGAATGATATAGATTGTGAAACTATTACATTATAAGTTTTGTAAACTTCTTTATAAACTACATTGGCGGTTTGGTTCATCTTAGCTGGGTCTTCATTCCATATCAAGATCTTTAAACCCCTGCGATTTGTGACACGTGAAAGCGCTACATAAAGTTGGCCATGGCTGAAAACTGACTTCTTCAATAAAAGCCCAACACGGACAATGATTGCCCTTGACTTTTATTAATTGTCATTGCATATGAAATCATTACTGGGAATTGTTTCCTTTGAAACTTAAAAGGAATCCTGGTATCTGACGGTGTAAGCAACAGCCGTGGGATAACAACTTCTTGTCCAATATTTTTCCCTGTAAGCACCGTAGCTTGAATAAGATGATTGCCCAGTCGAGTAACAATCAACCTGGTCCCATTGCACAAACGTGAAGATTGATCAATATGGAATAGAAATATATACCATTTGTTAAGTTGCTAAGAGGAGATGGAGTGTAGATATTCGAGTCTCTTTGCAAGGATCTGGATTTATCTCTGAAAGGGCTACTTGTTGCATTTTCTATGTAGGTAATTATAATAGAAATATAAAATAGTCAAATACTCTTAGTGACTTACATAAATAAATTCTTAATAAGTGAATATAAGATATTTGTAACACGAATAAAACTCATGCCAAAATCAGCAATATATGTAATAGCCATTGCGAGATTATATCTTGAAATACATTCATTGATGTCAATAACAGTGACATACATCATACAATAATTAGATCATTATACATTCATTGAAGATCATAATAGAGAGTTTAAGGGTAGCTAACATGGAATTTAGTACAAAAAACAAAAACACCGAACATAATCCAATACATGATTAGTCTTTCAATAAGTAACATACGTCTCATTAAAATATTTTTTATTTGCTGTTTTAAGACGTTTAGATCTTATCAGTGTAGGCGGTGTAGATGTCATTTCCATCGTCGGCGGTACAGGCATCAAAAGTGGCAAAGGCGGCGGAATTGATGTAGTCAACATTGGTAGGGAAGTTTTTGTTGGAGGTGGAAAAACGGCACAAACATCACAAATAAAATATAAACCCCATCCAACATCACCAATTTGTAGGCAGCGAAGATGACCAGAAACAAAAAAGCAAATCTAACACATTTCCATATCAAGTGAATCTTCGTTACTCTTGCACTTGTAACATGGTTCTTTTAAACTTCAAATTCATCCTATATATGTAAATAAAAAATTTCATTTATTAATAAAAGATAAAAAAATTTCTTCACATAGGAAAAAAATGTAATAAGTTGGTGAATTNTCTCTCTAGAAAAGTTTCAATCGCCGGCGATGGAGTTTACAGTCCAGTTGCCGGCGATACATATTTCCCGCAGTCTCCTATGCCTCAGAACATCTATCTAGAAAAGGATACCACAGATATTTATTTGGATGGAAACGGCGGCGATTTGAATCTCTGCTCCTTAATCAACAGCATGTTATTTCAAATATGGGGTAATCTCTGAGAAAATCATTCTTTATTATTGCATCAGAATTTCTTCATGACCAAATACTCCCTATTTTCACAGATTATTATGAAATTTTAGATCCGTATATTTTCCCTTCTTCTTCTCTGTTTAATGTTTAGATCTTCACCCCACATGCATGTTCCTTGATGTGTATTATTAGAAATTTTATTTTAAAAGGTAAAATCTGTTTTTTATTAATATGATTCGAGTTACTAAGCCCACATGCATAGGATCTCTTAGTTGTTTTCAGGAAACTTCCTTCTAGGAGTATTGTAAATTTGTTCTTAAAACTTCAGATATGTGATTTCATATTGACAAAAAAATATTAAATTTGATTGATTATACTCTATTTATAAATCTGCAATTTAGATTTTTTAGTGATTAAAAAAATGTTGATGTAGTTCTTAACTTTAAAAATATTTTCTGATTAAATCCTTTATGAACCCTAAACCCTTTAAAAAACTTCAAGATTTTATTTTGATTAAATTCCCTGATTAAATTCTCTGATTAAATCCTTTAAAAAACTTATAGATTTTATTTTGTTACATATTGCTAGAATCAAATCTATATAAAAATATTTCTTAAAAGGAATACTTAAATATAGAAATTAATGACTTGAGTATTTAAAGTTGTGTGTATTACGATTATATTTTCTACAGTTCTTTTTTTATCATAAAAAATGAATTACATCAAAATCTGAACTTAAATTTATGTTTCCAGTAGATTAAGGTAGTAACATGTTTTAGTTAAAAAATAATAATAATCTCAAAACAGGGAGTAGACATTAAAGCCATTGAATCTTATTGAACATGTTTCATTGAAGGGTTGAACATGTTAAAGATTCAATTGCACATTCACTGATTTGTATTGGCAGGATATTAAATTTTGACTTATTTATCAAAGCTGGCATGATTTTAAAACAGGTAATATAAATATAGCTATATAATTAAAAATACATATATTAGTTTATTCATTACTTGATTAATTATTTTAAATCAGAACTTACCTTTGTCTGATTCTTGTTCTGAATCATGCATTGACCATATTCTTTCAGTTTTCGTAAGCTTTCTCATTGCGCGGGAGAGAGGACTTCAGGTATCCTGTTTTCAATCCCATAATCTCATTAATTGAAGCACAACAAATTAATATTATAACAGTCATTATGAAATTTTTTGATTCAAATCTCGAAACAGTATATTTTCAGTGTATAACTTAAATGTGTTATTTTTTAAAAACAAAATTTTAATTTTGGTAGCTTATTCAGTCCACGGCTTTTTTGTATAATTTACTAAAAGCATATTTTTGGAACATTAACAATAATACTTCAATAACATGCTTGTTACTCCTATAAAGAAAGGAAGAATTTAATTCTAGCTTTGAATGCTCAAAATCAACTTCAAAGAAGAGGTTGGTTGGGAGATAGAGTAATAAATGTGTAAGTTAGAGGGAAAGACTAATATACGTTTTTTATGAATGTATAAAAAATGTATATTTGCATATTTAAATTGAACAATTAAAGTGGTTAATATTTTCTCTATGCAGTACATGTATGACATTTTCGTATTCGATAAATAACAAATTTATTATATATAAGTTTCGAAATGAAAGTTTCATGTACGATTATGCAAATATAGAAATATACTATTTCCTACCGTTTTCAACGTGAAAGACGATCTCCATAGAATCTCCGCCTCTCGCCCACCTTGGAACAAAGTAAACACGAATAGCCCTTAACTTGAGAATCCAAGATGTACCGTTGTTGTCAAGCTCGGAAATCGGAGTAAACATTGTCCTAGAATTTCTTTGAGAATTTTCGGCCATCTCAAGGAAGCAAAAGAACTCAAATATGGTGGAAGAAGGAATTGGTGTGTTTTAGCAATTCGGTTTTAGTGAATATATAATGGCTTTGGGAATCAACTAATTGAAAGCACATTAAATGCTTGGATTGTGCAAATCTATTTGATTACTTGA